GCAAACTTGAGCAGGAGATGAAGGGGATAGGACAGACCTGGGAATGTGATCTGCACTGAACTGCACTAGCTCTGTGCACAGGACCCATCCCAGGCCCCAGAGGCTCTGGGTGATGGCTGGGTGCTGCTGTGCATGGGCAGTGCTGGCTGTGTGCAGCCCTGGATGGGACAGCCTGGAAAGAGCACGGCTGCCTCTGGATCCCAGCAACGTCTGCAGCGACAGGAGAGGGATGTGTCTCTGCCCAACCTTGTAATCTTGCAGCCAACTTCTTTGTGCAGCTGGTGGGCTAGGGGTCCACAGGCCAGGGCCTTGGCAGCCAGACCTGCAAGCAGATGAGACTCCAAATCAAGCCATCTGGACACAACACGCTCCAGCACCTCCAGCAGCTTCCCAGAGAAGAACCTAGGACACCGAGCTGTGAAGCTGAAGCACCTCCAGCTCACCAGTGTGTCTGACAGCATGCCTTGTGCTGGGATTCAAAGACAATTGGCCCTTGTGTCTTTATGCATTTCTGCTTGCAGAGTGTAATTTTCTTCTGAAAATGCTCTTTTGCAATTACTGTGAATTACACATGAAAAGCAAGTGACCACGTATTGATTGGAGCCCAAGAAAAGCACCAGAGCCATTTAGAGTAGATTAACTTTTTCTGGAAAACGGCTTCACAGTTATTTAAAGAGATTAATCAGTTCCTTTTAGGTCATTTACTATTGTTTCCATGGCCTAGCCTGGAATATCCCCCTCTCCGTTGTGGACAGAGCCGAGACCTTCTCAAGAGGAGGAGTGCCAGGAGGAGGAAGGAGGGGTGCAAGCAGATGGTGCTGCTCTCTGGGTCTCTGTGGAGACTGTACCACAGCTGCCTCAGGGCAGGGCACAGGAGAACCCTCCTCGACCAACCCAAAGACCTGCCTGCTCCATGCCAGGTGCAGCCAAAGAACAGGAGAGCAGCATTCCTGGGATACATCCTGGGACATCGCTTGTGCACCCCTCTGCTCCTCCTGCCAGCATGCTGCAGGCAGAGCAGGCGCCTGCCCTCCAGTATTTCAAAGCATTTTTTTTCTTCAGGAAGAAAGCATTGAAGTCAAATAGCTCCTGTGGTGGAATACTTCCCAAATGTCAACACAATCTGTGCTACATTACGGGTAAATGTGATAATCTTAACGCCTGGCTTCTTAATGTCAGTGGCACTGAAGTCTGATGGATTGACAGACAGCCAGAATGACACGCAGTCGTAGCTGATAAGGGCTCTCTCCGGGGAAATCACAGCTTTTTAAAGATGTTGGCAGCTACTAGCAAGTACCTTTTTATTTAAAAGGATTACAAGCATTGATTGCACTTCCTGTTTTCTTTTTATCACATTCCTGCACCAAGTGAAGCTTGTGCTTCGAGCTGAGCTTTTCAGACAATTATTCTGGAATAATGAAGGCGTGTCATGTTGCCTGTAATGAGTGTTTTCAATGCCTAATTTGCGTGCAGTGTGAAGGGATTTCAACAGCTGCCTGGCTCCTGGCTAAAGGTGAGTGACTCCTGACCGCAGTGGAGGCTGCCGTGGGCTGCCTCTGCCAGGGTGGATGGCAACGCGTGCTTCCCAAAGCAGAAGAGGGATTAAAACTCCACGAATTACCGTGGTTAAAACACAAGCTAAGGGGATCTGTTCTGCTTAGAAATGGCTGGTGGCTGTTCCCCCAGTGAAAAGCTGGACCAATTCGTGCTCACCTGAGCAGCTCCTCCACAGCAGTGAAGGAGATGAAAAATGGATGTCTATGAAGCTGCAGTGTAGCTGGACAGGGCAGTTAACAACCCCGAGCCACAAACACCCGCTGGCACTGCCTACAGATGAGGGATGTCTAAGAACCAGCACTTGGCCTCCCAGCCACGGCCCACGGCACACCCAGCAGCAGAAGGGGTGGCTGGATGGTGTGGCTCGCTCTGCAGCCTAGGGGAGGCAAACACCAAGGCACTGGGCTCCTGCTTTTACCTTTTCTTTCTTGCCCAATGTCACGCTGTTAAATGCCAGATTTGACCCCTCACAAGGGTGGGATGGACCATGGGAAGGCCAGGGCTGTGTGATTGCTGCACGGGGAGCCCTGGCTGTGCTTTGCTGTGTATCCCAGCTACTTCAGACTCTGCCCATCCATGCTGGATTCAGCTTTGCAAAGCCCAAGGTACTTCCATAAAAATTTGAAGAACAGTCATTAAATCCACACTCATCTGGAAAGGGATTGTGAGGCTGGAGAAAGCCCAGGCTGGGATGTGTGAGTGACAGATGATGGCCAGCCTGGCTGCTCAGCATGGCACCAGCATCCCAAGAGGACATAGCCCCACTGGCAGCAGGAGCACCAGCTCTCCACCACACCGCCCTGGCTGCTCAGCAAGGTGAGGGGTGGCCTCAGCCCCACTGACTGCACAGAACACAATTCCAGGACCAAGTGAAATTCAATGATTTTGTTTCTCTCCAGCTTCTCTGGCTGTGATGACAGAGCTGTGACAGCTGTCTGGAAACACAGCTCTGTTCCCAGCAGTGAGAGGGGAGCAAGAACTGTTGCTGCCTAGCACAAAGCCAGGTCATCTCCAGATACTGGGAACACTCCTGGGATGGGCTGGGAGGCAGCAGAGCCACAGCAAGCAGAGAGCGCAAACCAGAGTTCTGTGGCACAGAAAGAGAGCCCTGACAAGACAGAGCACCAAGCACAGGGCAGAAGGGCAAAACAGGGATTTTGCTGAGCAGGGAGAGTCTGAAAGGAGCTCAAGGGCTTGGTAAATGAAAGGATGTAGGGGGCTGGGATATCAGCTGTGGTGGAGGTGGTTAAAGGAGTCAGCTTTCTGGTGATAAAGCAGCTTCCTCAGAGGATATGGGGGGAGAAGGGATCACCTTCCAGAGCAAGATATTGCCAGTGGGAACGGGAGGTAGAGGTTGACACAGCCTTGCTACATTCAGTTACCAGAGATAGATTTTCCTCCTGGGGTTGAAGGTATCACTGCCCTTTTTTCACTTCCCCTTAATGATCCCAGCAGATCACATCCATCTTTTGCAAATACCTCTCTAGAGGAGACCTGGACACCTTGCCTTCTGGAGCTTGCCATGGCTCAGTGCAGGCATTGGAGGTGACTGATGCAGTCTCCCTGTGCTGGGGATGAAAAGGGGCTGCAGAAGCCTGTGGCTGATGGGACACAGCAGCACCAGCCCTGTAGGACCTGTTCAGAATGTGACAGTGGCAAGTGCCACTCGGCCAGTAGACAGTCACAGGTCACGTCCCATGTGGCGAGAATCATCATCTGCAGAGCAGGACTGGCTTCCCCTCCTGCCCTTACCCTGCTCTGCAAGGAGGCTGTTGTGCAACTGCTGGAGAGAGAGAAGCTGCTATAGGAAGATTTCCTCAGAAGGAGCTGTGTTGAGGAGGCATGGAGCTATTCAAGCATCTTCACAGATGCTTCTGCAATCAAAGCTCTCAATAATCCTTCTCTTTTGTAGTGGAGGGTCTGGTTCTGACTGGCAATTTGTTGCTTTGAGCTCTCTCCATTTCCCCACAATATACAAGAAGCAAATCCTCCTGCACAGCGCAGGCTCACACTCAATGCCAGGCACTTGTCACCTCCACAGCAATGAGCACAGTGACTGCAGACACCTCCTCCTCCTCCTCAACGTGGAGTTCCCAGAACACTCCAGGCCCCGGCCTCGAGAGTCCTAAAGTGTTTGGGTGCCTGAAGTAGGACAGCAGGACTTGAAGAGCTGCAGCTGGATGAGAGTTCTTGTTGCCAAGGACCTGGGCTGGAAACCTGGGCACAAACACTCAGCAATGCTCAACTCTCTGCAAACAGCAATGGGCCAAGTGTCCAGACCTGCCAGAGCAGGCAGCTGTGACCACAGCACTGACAGACTTGCTGTGAGGGGGCAATTAATGTGATGCTGGCAGAAGTCTTTCTCAAGGCTGGCAGCTGTAGAGGGACTCAGTGTAACTGTGAGAAGGAAAACCGTGTGGACACTGAGGTCTGACAGCACACCTTGTGCCTCTGGAAAACCCTCCGGCCTCAAGACTTCCCCCTTCTGCCACAGCATCCCACTAACTGCTGTCATCAAAGGTCACCAGATGCTTCTGCCATAACATTTAGTGAATAATCAAGGGAGCAGGATGGAGTGGAGGCAGGGGGATGGTGAAGGATAAGGAAACACTCAAAGACCTGGGGGAACAATAATCCTGTTTTGGAGCCAGGACTGCAAGATGCTGTTTAAATGACTGTTGCCTTATGGAGCAGTTTAAAGTCTGCCTGTTCTATGTGCTGACCTACACTGAGGCCACCACCGAGCTCAGCTGTGTCCCCTCTCTCTGTGCCTGCTCCATCCCTCCATGGTGTGTCCTTGTCACACTGATAGCTGCTGGAGCATTTGCAGCCACCTCAGTGAGGTTTCCCAGGCCTTCTTTGCCATGAGCACCTTGATCCTTCCCCAGCCCCTGGCCAGCAAGGAAACCACCAGCAATTGATTTAGCTGCGGTCAGGCCAGAATGTCATTTATTTGCATAATTTCAATATTAAAACTGAGTTTTAATATTGAAGGAGGGTTTTTTAGCTGCTGCCAGTAACTGAACACTGCTGTAACACACAACATCACCAAAATGAGAATGGGTCAGGTTCCAAAACTGTTGACAATGTTCAGCTGCACTGAAGCCATGAAGAATTAGAGAATCATAGAATAGTTTGAGCTGCTCAAAGCACAACCCAACTTTCTCCTGAAAGGATGGAGAAAACCAAGGGCATTATTTTTCATTGTTCATTTTCATTTCCTTCAAGTTCAGGAGAAAAAAATTGACCCTTCTCTTGAAGAAGCTTTTTCTGATGAGCATTTCAATGAGAAATGAGAAGAAGCCAGAGATACAGCATCCTGCCAGTGGGAACATGCTGCAGCCTGTCAGCCACCCAGCCCCTCGTGGAAGCCACCAAAGGGACCACAATGACAGGGCGATGTAAGGAAAGAAAAAAAGACAAAAAAAAGCACGTAAGACTCAGGCTAGACGACAAGGAAATAATTTATTTCCAGGTCCCAGAAAGACCTTGAAAAAATAACAAGGGTGAGGAAATCAACCTTCTAATTTCATCTGGGTAGAGAAACAAAACCAAAGTGACTCCATCAGACATGGTGGCAGCTGCCAGCTCCTCCTGCGGGGGCGGGCAGGGGGTGCGGGCAGCGCGGCGGGGCCGGATCGCTCGGTACCGGATCCCTCGGTACTGGATCGTTCAGCACGGGATCTATCGGCACTGGACCACTCGGTACCACGCTCCTCCCGTATTTACACGTGGGACAGAAAGTAAAACGCAAGCGTGCGTGCATGCGCGCCGGGGAGCACGGGCTGGGCAGGGGTGGTCAGGGATGGGGGAGAACCCGCTGGGAGGGTTGCTAAACACGTACCCTGTCAGACCCCATCTCCTAGGACAGAGCCCTGCTATTGCACAACACTTGGCTAGAGGAAGGGCCAGTGCCAGAGGGGCTCGGGCACAGCTCTGCAGCCCAGAGGGAAAACACGAACACATTCCTGAGGAAAGAGAGGGCTTTCTCTGTTCTCCTGCTGGGAGGTGCGGGGTGCCACGTGCTTGAGACAGCGTGGCCAGAGCTGGCACTCGAGGGCCCTGCTGCCTCCCCAGCATCATCACAGTGAACCAGCAGCACGCTGGGCACAGGTGCCAGCCACAGCACCATCGCCTCCTCAGAGGGACCCTGGTCCCTCCAGGGGCTCCTGGTCCCGGTATCAGCCAAGCTGGGGCTTTGCACAGGGGCCGTGGTGGCAGTGGGCAGGAGCAGCTGAGGGCAGGCACCGTGGCAAAGACAGGTCCTGTCCCTCTCCGCTGCCGGGTCTCGTGCTGCAGCCAAAGGACCAACGCCAGCAGCCGGGAAGCAACACGCAGTAAAAAAATGGACACGCATGTACATTTACAGTTAAACCTTCTCCAAGGAGAGAAAACAGTGTCTGTGGTTAAACTAAAAAGGACAAACCCAATGTTTGTCATTGGCAGCCCAGGATGTGTCAGGCCTTGGGAGACTGTATCAGTTACCTATCAATGATATAATTGATTTTTTCCCAACATGAACAGATAAAGAGCTGCACCAGCCAGGATGGCCTGAGGTGCTGTGCAAGGACATCACTCTACAGGCTGTTCAGTTTTCCCTGTGGTAGTTGGCAGGCTGGGAAGGCACTGGGCACCCAGTGCTTTTTTCCAGCATCATCTGCAGCCTGAAGAGCAATGGCACATCCCACTGGCATCCTCATCACCTACCTCCCAAACCCAGGAATTGCATGCAAAAGCAGTCCCGCTGGGAGCTCATGCTGGTTTGCTGTGTGATACTGTGCTGGGGTGGGGAGAGCCTGGGTACCCCGAGGTGTCAGAGACGTGCTGCCCAACCTGCAGCCAGCTCGGCCCCAGAGCTGTGCCAGCAGGTTCTGGCCTCACAAACATCTCCTGGGGATGGCTGTTCTGTTGCTAATGGTGATGCTCTGCTGTCAGCTAGGTGCAAGCAGGAATTATTCTTCCCAGCCAGCAGTCCAGGGTTCTCCCTCACCCTGCAGCAAAGTCCTCCATGGGATGCAGCTCTCCCCCAGCCACAGTGGGCCAGGGAGCACTGACACCCTGCCTGCTGCCCTGTGCAGCTCACACCATTTGGTGACAGCCAGTGCCTGGCTGAGAGCCCTACAAACCCCAGGTCCTGTGTGAGGGGCTGGCAGATCCCACCTGGGGGTGCTGCTCTGGGCCCCCCAGAATGCTCTGATGGAATTCCCCAGCAGCACAGCTGCTCTGTGGCCCAGGGCACATCGCGCCTCGGTGACAGGTGGGACATCCCTGTCTGTCACTGGGCTGTGGGGCACACCAGGACTTCACAGACAATGTCTGCTGTGCAGGGAGTGTTGGGGATCCCCTTCACATCACCAGCACCTCTGTGACCACAATACAGGGGTGAAGTGATTGCAGCACGGAAGGGAAACCTGGTTTGAGGAGAGCGGCCGTTCTGTGCAGGATGTGATCCCAGCCTGGCATCCTCCCTCCAACACCATGCCCGCAGCCAGGGGCTACCGAGAGGCCCACGGGGAGCAGCGAGAAGGAAGACTTCAAAAAGCACGTAAACTTAGGAGGGAAAAATCTGAACAGAAGTTAAAAGCTTGTTTCCCTCAGCAAGGAAAGCTCTTAAAGAAATCAAAGCTCTTTAAATGCTCTGACTCAAGTGACAAAAACAATTTAGACAACAAAAGGCTCCCGGTTTGCTCTTCCTCTCCTGGATAGGGATCACCGAACAGATCTATTTAAATTATAATTTGTGGGGGAGAAACCCTCTCCAAACCCTCTTGAATTAGATTTTCTCCTTCTTAAGTCAATGCGTAGTGCTTTAATGGAGACTGGCTTTGAGGAGATGAGGACAGCCCGGTGGCTCCTCTGGGCTCCCCAGGCTCCCCACGTGAGTGTGGAGCCCACCCGAGCCAAAGGCAGCTGCAGAGGAGCAGTGGCCCGGTGCCCGCGGTGCAGCCTCTGGCCGGCAGCCGTGGAGTCCGGCCAGGAGCACACGATTCCCATGTGGCACGGCCTGGAGCCCCAGTCCAGGAGGTGTCTGGAGCCCACGGGGTTGGAGGGGCAGCTAGGACTCCTCGCCGTCCTCCTCGCCCCTGCGCCCCACGTACAGCGCTGCCAGCTGCCGGAATCGTGGCCCCCAGCCCCCCAGGTAGGAGAAGTCCTGCTCCGAGCCGCTGGACCAGGTGTTGATGGAGCTCAGGGAGGGCACTGGGGAGTCCGAGCCCTCGAAGGCATAGGTCTGGAATGAGTCATAGGGCGGCACAGAGAGGTCCTCGTCTGCCTGCTCCACCTTCCTGCAGATATAGTCTCTGAACACAGAGAAGTCCAGGTCTGGGCTCTGCACCCACTGTGGGAGGGCATGGAGCTCCGAGGCTGGGTTTCTGCCTGGGCCCCCCTCTCCTGGCCCCCCACCTCCATCACCAGCTTTGATCTCACTGAAGTCGTAGAGGCTGCGCAGGGCTGACATGTCATAGGCCTCTGTGTCCTGCTCACCACCCCCTTCATCGTTGTATTTGATGACATTGTCCCTCATGTCCTCGTCATCCTCAGAGGTCAGGTGGCTTTTGTGGTGTCGCTTCAGCGTGAGGATCAGAAGGACCAGCACTGAGAAAGGAAGAGACAGTCAGATGTGGGCAGAGTCTCGGGAATGCCGTGCTCCTGCAGGGTGAGGATGACTCCTGCTTGGTGGCAGGTGTGGAGGCACAGCACCCCTGGCACGGGGAGCCCTGCCGGCATGCCAGACGGTTCCCATCAGCCAGGCTCATCAAGTAGCAGCCGTGCTGTGCACAGGCTTGGAGAGAGGCTTTCCCAAGCTCCAGGGCAGACTGGGAGCTTCCTTTGCCATGCAGCGTGACCACCGAGACAGGAGGCAGCGATGGATAAACACACAGCTGGACAGACAAACGGATGGGTTCTGCAGATGAGTAGGAAAACGGGGTGCATGATTCACAGTAGCAGGCAAAAGTTGGGTGGGTGAATGTGGAGCAGATGGCACAGAGCCCGAGCAGCGAGCCACAGCTGTGTCCTGGATCATCATCCATTCAGCCCATCACCTTTAAAGCACCGATGTGCACTTTATTCGTTTGGGCAATTAGGCAGAAATTTGTTTGCACTGCGTTGGAAAATGAAACCAGTGTAAAGTGCACCCTGTGGGAAAGGGTTTTCTGAACGGAGATGCTGCAGGAGACACGGAGTGGAGCCATGCCAAGGAGAGGAGACCTCACCAAACAACGTGCTGGCTCCCACAGGTGTCTGGACAGCCCTTGGAGCCAGCCAGGAGCCAGCTTTGGGGCCAGAGAGGGCTTTCAGCAGCTGCATCCATCAACTGTCCTGTGCTAAACCTGATGGCACTCCAACATCCCTTGTTCAGAGCCCCTTCCCACAGGCACAGAAGCACATGCTCCCCATGCCCAGCACAGTTTGTGCCAGTGTGCCCCTGGCAGGCAGCAGCACTCTGGGGTACAGGTCCTGACCTAGGCAGCACGCTGGTTTGACCACAGCCCAGCTCTGCATCCTGCCCACACACTCACACACGCTCTAACACTGACCTTTCCAGGTAAGGGCACACCTGTGTGCCCCACACCTGCCACACCTTCCCACATGCTGGGAGCACACACCCCATCTGCTGCGAGATGCCTGCTGTGGGCACAGCATGACAGCTGGCAAGCAGCTCTTGGCTCCTGCCTTTCCAGGCAGGGAGTGAGCCAGCAGCTCTCCAGGCTCTGCTGGGCAGCATCACACACTCTGCTCTGGCTGCCTTGTGGAGCCCCAGCACGCCTGAGCTGGTCCCCCCATCAGGGGCTGAGGTCCATGCCCCCCATGCTGCAGCTACCAGGGAGGAGACAGATGCAGAGAAGCCTGCTCTGTGCCCACAGCTCCTGCCTGCACACATTCACGTGATGCTGATGGAGTGGAGCTGGGACAGGACAGGAAGGACGCAGGGGACAGGCAGGCACTCACCAACCAGAATGAGGACACAGACCAGCAGCGCGATGAGGGCGCCGGGGCTCAGCGTGGCTGACACGACGTAGGCTGTGCTGTTACAGGACTGGATGGCCCCGGTGCTGTCACAGCCGCAGACACGGATGGTCAGAGTCCCTGTGCTGCTCAGGGCTGGGGGGCCGCTGTCCACCACCAGGATGGGGAGCAGGTACACATCCTGCTCCTGGCGATTGAAGCCCACTCTCTGCGTGTGCACCGCTGCCGTGTTGTCTGCAGGGAACAAGCGAAACCGCAGCCAAGTCACCCCCACATCACAGCCTGCAGGACCTGCCAGGAGCTCCTCCATGCTCTGGAGCTATTCCTGCACCACCTCCAGCAGCCATCCTGAGAGAGCCTGGGGCCTCCCCCTCCTCCATCACATAGACTCAGCTCATGGACCCCTGCAGCCTGAGTGCCTGAACACGGCCAGCTCCACTCCAGCACGTTCCCCTTTGCCAGCGGCACCTCAGGGCTCTCCTTTGTCACCACACCTGGGAATGAGCCTGGCACAGAAGCGGCAGCACATGAGTCTCTGAACCAAGCTGACAAACAATGCAGGTGGCACAGAGAGAGGGGAAAAACTTCTAAAAGACCCTCTGAGAGTGGCACAGAATCAGGATAAAAATCAATTGCTGACATGTACACAAGAACAGAAAAGATCTGCAGGTGGCAATGAGGCTGCAAGAGCAGACACTGCTTCTTCCAAAGCCAAGAGCCATGAGTGAATGGTCCTGCCTCAGCTAGAGGGCCAGATACCCTGTGATCCTCTGTAACTCCTGAAGGAGTAGGTAGAGCTTCTTCCAAGCCTCTCAGCCAAGTCAGGCATCCTCCTCCCCATCTGCTTCCACCCTGCTGCTTCAGGGGCTCAGCTGGCACAGCACAACTCATTAAGATCCCATTAACACAGCCACTTCACGGGACCCTCCAGGGCCCTGGTGCCAGCAATGAACCCAAGGAGCAGCTGCTGCCGACCAGGAGCAGGGAGGGAGGGCAGGGACAGGGACTGACACTGGGATTGACTGCCTGCTCAGGGGTGCTGCAGGCTGCCAGCCAGCAGCAGCATGGGCAGGATGGGGCTGAACAGCAGGTGACAATTGCAGCCAGGTGTCACAAGCTGTTGCTGACTGTCTGAAGTCTTCATCTAATAAACCATAGATTGGTCCACTCATGGCAAGGTGCTGCTGTCTACAGACTCTCCTCATTGGACCTGATTTATGCCACACCATCCCCTTTCTCTATGAATCAGCTCCTCCATTGGAAAAGACATCTACTGTAACTCTGGCCCTTGGGCTGCTGCCATCACGGAAATTGCTGTATGGATTGGGTGCTGCATGAGAGCACACAGGGCATGGTGGGGACAGGAGGTGAGCCAGGATGGAAGATCTACTGGTCAGCCAGGAAGCAGATCCCAAAGGCTCTGTCTAGCAGCCAGGGCACTGCAGAGCACAGACTCCTGTCCCGTGGGACACCTGCCACTGTGGCTGAGACTGCTGGAGCAGCATGTGGCAGCAGCACCATGGCAACTGGGCAGAGGTGTCGGGAGGAACAGGGGAGCACTGGCCCCTGGGTGCAAGGAGACTGAACCAAGTGTGGTGGCAGCAACATCTGAGAGCTGCCTGTGGCCTACCAGGGATGAGCTAGGAAAAAAAAATATTGTTATGCTAATCGTTTGAGCAAAGGTAATGAGATCTCATTTGGTGCTGGTCCCCCCTCCTTGCTGCAGTGTATTATTATTATTAACATAAATAATGTTAATGGCACCATCTCAGCAAGAAGCCAGGACTAGCTCCTAGCTAGCCCAGCTAAAAGTAAGCCTCAGACACCTGGATCGAGTGGAGATAAAACCACAGGACAAAAAGGACAGACTAAAGCGCTGTAAGAGAGCGAGGCTCTGGCCACAGCCCAGGAAGGCCACCTTTGCTGTCACTGTCACATCAGTCAGGTCACCAGCCTGGGGTTGGGGTCAGATCCTGGCTCAGAGGATCCCTGAGCACACAGCCCTGCCCCTCCACTGCAGCTCAGCCCAACCCTCACATAGGGCTGATGGAATATAGTGCTTGGGAACTCCCCCAGCTGCTCTTCAGCCCTGTGTAAACACAGGGGTAGCACCAAACCTCTCTGGAAATGCAGCAGGAGGCTGGCAACTCCCTTCTGTTTACAGCCAGCTCCAGCTCCTGTTAGGGACCTGCGACAAGGCGTGCTGTATTTTTAGAAACAGTCTCTAGAAACCAAGGGGAGCTAGACATGCAAGTGGCAGAGGGGCAGGCACCAACCTCAGCTCAGCCCAGACAGTTTAGGCAACCTGGCACCACTGAAAAAGAAATATTGCCACCCACCAAGTCAAAATAAAGAAGCTGATACTTAAATCTAACAGCAGCATGACACACAGCTCTGCTCAGAGAAATCTTGCCTCAGGAAGGGGCTGAGGGTTTGCCCTGTGACCCAAAACTTGATGCAAGGGAGCGACAAAAACCACAACTACAAACATTATTTTAAACATCATGTAACTGTATTTTATCTCCTGAACAGGGTGACAGGCACCCTTCATCCCAGGAGGGAGATCCACAGAAATTTCACGTGTACACCAATGAAACTGCTCACCAAGGCTCGACAGCCAGAGCCCAGCCTGGCAGGGATCACCTGCCTCCAGCACTGAAATGGCTCCACCACCTGCCCACTACCCCCTGCTCCCCACCACCATGAACTCCTCTGCCGGGTGTTTGCACTCACAAACTTCTGTCTTCCCCTCTGAGATACTCCAAAAAAAGCAGTGCTTGGCCATACGATTGTAGTCCTTTTGATCACAGATCTGGGAAAATTTCACCCAGATCTTGGAATGTGTATCCTGGAAAATGCATCCAAAGCAACCTCCTACAAAACAATCGACATTTCTCTTGGTGCAGTTGTTTCTTTATGTGTAGCTGACCCACAGCAGCTGCTTTGGGATGTGTCTTGCTGCAGATTTGTTTGCATTGGCACAGCCCAGGCAGCCCTGGCCCCGCAGCCCTCGTGTGTCTTCCTCTGCAGCAGCTTCCTGCCAAATCCATTTCTGGGGTGATGAGCTGAGCAGCAGTGCATCTCAGGAGCAGCACTGGAATGTGAGCAGACGTTAATCCACAGCTTTCCTGAACAGACGAGTCTGGGTCTCCACACTTGGTTTCCTGCCCAGTCCCCACAAAGCTGCACCTTCTGCTGCGGTTGTGCTGAGTGTCCTCTGATGCCCCAACAAAAACCTTTTACTATCACTGCTTTCTTGCTGCACAAGTTGACATTTTCTTCATAGGTTTCTAGTGCCACCCTCTCTCTGATCATGCAGTGACATTATCCTGTGCTACATCACCTTGTGTGACAGGGCAGGAGATGGCCCCTCTGTCCACCTGAGGAGCAGGACACCGGACAAGGCAGGAACTGACATGAGCTGAACACACAGGGACTTATCAATACTGTCCTAAGAGGAAAGTTTGGAAATGCAATATACTCTGGTGGTAGCTTAACGTCACTAGGAATAATAAAATAATTAAGTCTCCCAGACTCCCTCTCCAAAGAGGCTCTTGGCAGCCTCAAAGACTGAACTAATAAATCCTTCTCATAACTCAATCTCAAACAGCGCTAGGAGAGATTTTGATGTCCTTTCCCTCTCCCACACTCACAGGGCCCTGTGAGCATCAGTCTCCCCCTTCTCCAGCAGCTGCTGTGCTGTACCAGAGCCTGGGAACACGGGCTCTGGGGAGGAGCACCCGGCTGGGCCTGCGGGCACACTGCTGCCAGAGCTGCCCCGAGGGAGCAGACCTCCTCCAGCCCCAGATGGTGCAGCTGGTAGAAGAAACATCCTGTTTTTCCCTTCTGCCTCTTCCTTCTCTCGAGTTCTCTGGATACCAGGCCACAGCACCACTGCTGCTCCGCTGTTTGCTCAGCCCTGAGGAGGTTTGATGCTCTTTTACACACACACCCTGGCCCGGTCAAACGAGCATCTGCGCTGCTTGTGCTGAGAGGGGCATCCCTGCGGGGCTGGAGGAGGCTTCCTCTATCCTCAGGCAATCCTCAAATCCTAACATTTTGCTTTTGATTGTTAGGATTTTCAGATCTTCTATCACCCATTACATGCTCTTAATGAGACCTGCAGAGAGTTCAGACATCTGCTTGCCGAGCCCTTGAGCCCTGGAGTCAGTAGCTCCATGTGTCACTCCATATTACCTAGCATTCCTTCCAGGTTGCCAGGATTGGATGCTTGTTACCATCCCTTCCAACACAATTAGCATTTCTTGGAGAACACGATTTCAGGCTTTAATTGCCTTTGATCCTGCTGTAATCAATTTTCTCAGGCCAGAAAGACCCAGCAAAAGGCGAGTTAGGAAACAGAGGATGGTGAATGTCTTTGGAATGGTACCAGTTGGATCTTAACACAGTCAGCTTCTCTAATTCCATCTCTTCCTTTAGTCACTCCTTATGATGGGTATCTTCTTCCTGGATGAGTGCTGTTGTTACCACAGGTGACATTTACTCCTTGTCTGATGGATCAGGAAGTGTGTGAGCGCTCCCTCAGACAGAGCAAAAGCATGGAAAGAGAGACACCAATAGGCAATGGTGCTGTTTCCAAAGCCCAGCTCTTGTCAACCACCCATAACTCAGCTCTGTGGTCACCTGCAGGGATACCCTTGGTTTTTGCATCTCCAACCCGAAGCACTGGAGCCAGCAGCTCTGTGTGCCACAGCCAGGACCCCAGAAGGAGCCCCAATACTGCTGCCAGCTCACAGCCCCCCAGGCTCTCCCACCATTCCAGGTGCTCCTGCCCTGCCTGACTGCAACAGGAGTGCTCTGAGCCAGTGCTGGTCCCCACCCTGCTGAGAAGTCACTTCCCAAGGTGGCTTTCTGGTGGCACGAAGGAGCCAAGTGAAGTAGGTGCAAAGCAAAAGAGAGGATTTAAGCAAGAGCTTAAAGAATCCATCTGTGCTGACATCCATCAGTGTCACTCCTTGGCTGCAAAAGCAATATTTATAAATCACGTTTCAAAACTGGCTACAAATTTGTACAAAGAAACAGATGGGCTGGTGGTAGCAGTTTGTCACCACTGATATTTATACGGGGGAGTAGAGACAAGTGCAAGAGGGGTGAATGCAGGAGAGGGAAGCAAAGGGGGAACACAAGGGAGGATGCAAGGACAGCTACGAGAGCAGGGGCAAAGGTGAGTGTACCCAGGGCAGTCGATGGACTGGAGAAGGGGGCAGAAATCAAAGGGAGGGAGATGGCACCAAGGCACCCTCTTAGAAATGAGGAGTGCCTCCATCTGCCACAGGCAGCCACCTCCACTTGCTGTAGAAGACAGTACTGCTCAGCAATTGGGAGGGTCTCCAAACACTCTGGGAATAACCCTGCAGCAACAACATTTGTTTTCCCAAGAGCAGGAGGCGGGAGGTGATGCCAGCTTTTACTCATTTTATGCAGTGTTACACCACACAAAAAGCTCGAGGGATCATTTAGCACAAAGAATTACCCTGTGCCACAAGAGCCTCATCCCACTCAAGAGAGCAGCAGCTCCGGAGGAGATGGTGGCACACATGTCCTGCATCTACTGTAATGCCAGCTCTTAGGCCACTGCTGTGGACCCCCACACAGAGCCAGGGAGCCAAGCAGCCCCTGCTAAGCTCCATACACCCCCAGCCACGTGCCCTGCCAGACGAGCAGAACAGTGGTGGTGGCTCTGGGATGGCAACCTGGCCATGGCAGACAGCCTGGCCCAGAGCTCAGAGCCTCATGAGGGTCTGGGCAGGGATGGATACCCGGGTGTAGCTCAGTGTGTCTGAGCACATTTTTATAAGGTCCTTCAAAGAAAGTGAGGGAAGTTAATCGCTGGGTGTGGGGCAAAATCTTGCTGAGGATTAAAGCCTGTTTACATGATAAGAAGCAAAGGTCTTCTGAACAGCTGCCCTTGAGCAGAGGGGGAGGGACTCAAGTCAGGGACAGCTGTGCTACTCAGGACACAAAGCAATATCCAGCTGTGATACCACCACATCTGAAGCTTTTCCATTTTGACTGTCCCTAATAACCAAACTGAGCAAGCACGATCTTACGTCAGCACAGGGCTCCTGTGATAAGCTCAGAACAAACTAAACCAGGCTTTTGACAGATAAAGCTGCAAAAGCAGAGAAAGAAAACGGTTTCAAAAGAAAACCCAACCAAAACCAAAGAAGAATTTCAATGTGGTCTGCTGGCCCCTGTGAAAAGCACATGCACATGTGGCTGGAGAAGGTCCCAGTATCTGCAGGGGACCCTGATGTACCTACTGCTACAATCAACACCTAAATTCACCCTAAACACCAGACAAAAATAGGAAGCATCCCGGTAACTACTTTTCTGGATTGTTACTGTCCATACAAATGCAGTCTGTTTTGCAGCCTGCAAAATCCAACAGCAGCCAGGCTCAGCCAGCAGAGCCTGCATAGCACCCCATCACTCACAGCAGCATCAGGTCACCCAGGATGAGCTCCTGAGCTCAGGGATGCAGAGAGCCCCAGAGCTGCCCAGAGGAACAGACAGCTCTGCCTGGCTGCGTGTCCCAAAAGAGAGGATGAGCCCCAGGAAACAGAGGAACTGCACACCCCAGAGCCACCACACCACAGGGACTCAGGCTCTGCAGGCTGTGTCCCAGAGAACCCATTGTGGCTGTGGGCTGGCTACAGTGTGGCCCCACTGCCTCCCAGGGCTCCAGAGCTGGTCCCCTTCACTGGGGGCACAGGGCTGGCCACCACATGGCAGCCTCAAGACAACCCGTGCTCCAGGATTTACCTTGGAGAGGGATCAATCATAACGCTCAAAATGGGAGTGTGCTCATCTATAAATCCATATACTCTCCTTGCCTGCAGGCAGGTTGGAGATTTCCCATCAAGAAAGGCACTGAGAGCCCTGAAAATACCAAAGACTTAACCAGACAGCATGAGAGGAGCTTTGTAGCTGCTTGCAGCAAGGGATAAAGCTCCCAGAGCCTCCTTGAGGAAATCCAAGCTGTTAGCTGACCAGTCCCACCATTTCAGGTTGACAAGAAGCTCGGCAGCATGCCCAAAGCACCCAGAGCTGGCACAGAGGAACCATAACCCACATCCCTCTCCATGGCCAGAGGTGCTGCTCAGCGTGAAGGATGCTGGGTGCAGCAGGACTTACCCTGGATATCCAGCAAAGAGAAGTGGTGGTTGTTGGTGGCTTCAGGTGCCAATGTGAAGTAGAAACGATGGCCGCTCTGAGGCTCATCCCGGTCCACAACGCTGATTGTCTGGATCAGCTGTGGGGAGAAGGCAGAGGTGAGCACCAGTGCTGCTTCCACAGCCTCTCCCAGGGTCCCACAGGCAGGGTCCAGCCAGCAGCAGTGCTGGCTGCAGCCAGAGAGGGACGAGCCTTCAGCCCTGCAGACGGGCTCAGTGGGACCAGCAGAGACTCCCACTGTGACAGGGGATGCACAGGAAGGCTCTCAGGCAGAAGGGGACAGATGGGAAAGCTGGCACTGGTCCAGATTGCTGCCTGCAGCCTGAGATCAGGGCTGGGGGACTCTCGCTACCTGGCCTGGCTTGGCATCCTCACACACAGAGGCTTCATAGGGGGTGGCAAGCTCAGGTGGATTGTCATTGACATCCAGGATCCGGATCCGGAGAGAGGCCCTGGACACCTGGGAATGGTTATCTGAAACAGAAAGAGAAGCAGAGCTTCAAGACAAAGGACCAACTGTTGCTATCAGGGAGCAAACACCCTCATCCCCATCTGTCCAGAGGCCATTGTGGCTGCTGCCAGTGCTGCACCTCTGCCTGCCTGTGGCACAGACTGCCTAGAGGACAGCAGCACCTCTAGAGCATGCTTCAGCCTCATTGCACCCTGCAAAAGAAGCCCTTGCAAAACTGCTGAAGCCTGAGGTTCATGCTTACCACTGGACTGTGTGCCAAGGACTCCTGAAATACCACCTGATCTACCCCTGGAAAATGGGAACAGGCCAAAGCTAGTCCCAGCCATAAGGGTCAGCCATCCAGTGGTGAGGATCTGTGCTGTAGCAAAACAGCACCAAGATGGAACAGAAAACTTGAATGTGAGATCACTCTCTGACCTGGATCCTGATCCATAGGTGCTCGAGACTGGCAGCAACACCTGAGGGCTGAACAAATGGAGCTGGGATGTGAAACAGCTGCGATCAACTGAGGGCACAGCTTGGTGGTGAGATGTGTCCATCCACCTCTGCTGTGCCCAGGTGACCTGGGGTCAAATGTACCCCACTGAGGCATGAGGCTCTTGCCCAGGGACTCAGGCCTCTTGTGCTGACACGGTTTTTGTTGCCAGTACAGCTTAAACACAGCACCATCCACCAGCTGGCATGAGGGGCTCACACAGTAAAACTGAGGGCAGCCCTCTCACCCTGGCACTTCCCAGCCCAGCCTCACACAGGCAGTGGTCCTGGGGACCCCCCCTCCCTTGGGGTTCACTCTGCCATGGGGTGGGGCAGCATTTACACCTCCACTCACTGCAGCATCACTGAGCTGCACACGCACTGCCGAGGGACACTGAGCCCGTACCATAGGATTATAAATCACTCTGGAGGGCCTGATGTTTGCTGAAGCACCTCATATATCTCCAGAAATGAGAACTCCCTCTTACTCCATCTCCTTTGTTTTACCCAGAGGCTGCACCTGTGACAGAACTAATGCTTCTCTCCACGCTCAGGCAGGAGTTCTGCTGCCTGTTTGTCTATAACATTAATACTGGCCCCAACAGATCAGGTGGGGGAGGACCCAGGGGAGAGGAGATTTAGCGCTGCTCCATAATTAGCCAGGAATCTAAGCCCCCTCCCCAGAGCTGCCTTCACCCGGTTCTCATGTTATCACTCCCTCTCACCCAGACCAGCTGCTCTGGTGATTAGATAGTTGTTTTTGGGGGAGGGAGGCTGAAGTCGTGACTGAAAGCCTAGAACTATGTGTTATTTTAAAAGGCATATTGGTGCAGTGAAATAAACTGCAATTGCTTGCAGGAAGAAAGAAAGGGGGAGGCAGCGGGGTGAGAAGGGAGCCCGGGGAGACAGCGGGGTGTGTGCTTGATGCCCACAAATGAGCAGGAAGAAAAAGGGTTCAGTTCCTGCAAGAAGGAGGATGACAGCATTTCATCACCCCCTCCTCAACCCACAGAAGATGGATAACCATGCCCGCTGCTCAGCTCTGGAGCAGGCTGGGATTGCTGAAAGACGAGGAAAAGCAGAAAGAGAGGAAAGGAAATAGAGCCTAAAAGGAGGAAGAATTCAGGATCCCAGCTCTCCCCCTTCTTAACTGTAACCCAGAGGAGGAGCTCCTCCCTTAGTGCTCCACAGTGTGGGAGCCAGCTGTGAGCAGGAACCAAACCCAGTGCTGCCGAACCCTCCCCAGGACCTGCTGGGATCCTGCGTGCCAGGTCTGCACATCCAGGTGATCCTGAGCAAAGCAGCTTCTCTTGGAGAGCATCTTCCCCAGCCCCCGAGGAGGGATGTGTGTCCCTGAGCCGGGCAGAAGCACAGGGCCATGCTGGTCCAGCTCCAGCTGCAGAGCCGGGAGCGCTTGGAGCCGCACATGGGAGCGGGGTCACGGCCACTCCTCGGCTCAGAGCTGACCACCTGCAGCCATCCCCTCCCGAGCCAGGGGTGCATCCTGCATCCCTGGGCATGGCTCTGACACAGTGACCTTTCTAAATGCACCCTGTCATATTGAAGCTCTCCTTCTGCCCTTCCAAAACTGCTGAAGCCTGAGGCTCATGCTTACTCCTGGCTCAGTGACGGGGTCAAAATTTGACGTGTCCAGGAACATCAAGGTTAGAAAGGCAACTGCTGCACTCTTGTCTACCTTTCCAGTGAGGCACACATCAGCTTTTTTTCTTATTATTTTATTTTGGCTGTAGAATGTATATTTGAAGGTTTCTTAATGCTTTATCAACTTTCCCCTTCCTTTGAGCCAGTACCTAGATTTACAGGTGGAAAAAATGAAAAATGGTTGGATGTATTTGAAAGAAGTTATCTCCGAAACATCTGAGATATGTTTTTTGTAACAGTGGCATAAACTGATATTATGATGGTCAGAAGTGTGATTAAGATTGTTGGAGCACATCTGTGATGAAAGGCACAAAGCACTCAGCTAACACAGGATTCACATCTGCGAGGTCAGAAACTCTGGCCTGTGCTTTCTCTACCTGTGTGCATGCACTCAAAATGCCCCAGCACAGGAGCAAAGGCTCAGCAGGCAAGTCCCAGTGCCAGGAAGAGAAGCAGAGGGTGGATGAGGCCGTGGCATGGGTGCTGCAGGCACCTGCCCTCGAAGAGCTCTGTGACGAGCACCTGGCCCGTGATTGAGGCGAGGGCAGCACGTGCTGGCTGAGGGCAACTGGAAGGGAAAAAAGCCATCTTCCATTTCAGCGTCTCTCCTCGGTATTCCAGCTCAGCTGACTGACATGCAAATTAGTTTAATTATTTCTTCTTCTAAAATAAATTATATTTTGCAGTGGCTGCAATATGTTGTGTCAGGCAAAATTACATTCAATATTTTTAAACTAATTGATGTCAGCCTTGAGAAAACCTGATTGACAGCAGCGAGAAAACTAGGCTGCTACCTAAACGCTTTCCTAAATTAAAATTAAACATGCCGTTTTTCTGCATTTCCTTCAGGAGTTGGAATGCTATTAATCTGAAAAGACTGAGGAAAGAGACATGGAAAATACACAGAACAAGAGGGAGATGCTGGAAGCACAGCCGTGCAGTATGGGAGCTCCAGGCTGGTGACTGGCAGCTGCCTTTGCCAACATGGGAGGAATTATTTCAGAGCCACTGGAGCTGCCGTGCGTGGGGGACAGAGCTGTGCCCGGTGCTTCCACGCTGCTGCTCTGTGCCTGCCTCAACACAGCCACCAGCGTGGCTCAGGGTGTGCCACCCCTGCCCAGGTGCCATGTAGCAGAACAGGCTGCACTGGGACAGGACTGGCAGGGATGGGACAGGCAGTGCCAGGATTCTGCAGCGTGAGATGGTCACAGTCCTGCTGCACGGCAATCATCAGGCCAAGAGTCAAATCCTTCAGGGGAATCTTCATCCACATCCCAGAGTATTTCCTTATTTAATTAATCATGTAAGTAAGTAATCTGAACAGTACAATATTCTCCTCTTAAATATTCAGATGCAAAACACCAACTTGCCCTCTCCCTGAGCTGCAGACAGCTGAGTGCTCACAGGACTGACACCGAACAGCTCTGGGCAACTGCTCAGCAATTCTGTAGCTCTGCAGCAGCTCCCAGGGATGGGAAGGGATTGACAGTGCTTGGTCACCCCTGCTGTGGCAGGAAAGGAGAGGACTTGTGGTTTCTGCTGTGCCAGGATCCTGCCCTTACTCCTCCAGACCCTCACACGATCTCCCAATAAAACACTTTACATTTTTACACTCAAACCTCTCCTGTGGAGCTCCAAATCCAGCAAATGCCATTTTCCCTCCTCCCTACACACACACAAAAGTGCTCAGCAGCTTCCCTAGGTCTGAGGAGAGCCCAGGGGACCATGGGCTGCCATGTGCAGCTGCAGCACCTGGAGCAGACCAGCTCAGGGACACTGCTGGGCACAGCATCCAACCTGCTCTTCTGTGTCAAGACCAAATTGGTACAATACTGAATTCCAAATTTTTACATTAGTAAGGAAGTCAGAAGAGGCAGGAGTGGAATTTACTCCTCACTATCTCATCAAATTGGGTGAACAAAATGCAGAATGGAAGACTGGGATGTGCCACTCTGCTCCTCAGCCCCGATGCCACGGCTCTGGGGCACAGGGTGGGTTTGTAGCTGTCGGTACAAGTCCTGCCTACAGACCAGAATGCTGATGCCAAGGACAGAGCAGGGGCATGCCAGGGATATGACTCGTCTGACAGGTGGCTATATCAGAGGCTGGAGCTGAAAACGTGGCTCCCAGCTGAGGGGAAGCAAAGTGGAAGCAGCAGTTAAGCCAAGTAACATATAAATGGCTCTCACCTCTCCTGAGTCCTGACCAAACTGAGCAGCATGAGAGTCATTAAATTGCATCCAAACACAATGCTCTGATTAAAGCCAGTCTCCAGCAGGAAGATTTATCATCTCAATTACCAGCAGTGGACACAGCAGTCAAGGCCTCATCATTTTACATGAGCAAAGAGGAAAACAGGAAGAGAATCACTAATATTAGCCCAAGGAAGGTAAACAGCTTGCGAGGGAGATGAAGATTTATCTGTGGAAACGCTTGGCCTGGTCCCAGGCCAGATTAGCTGAACAGCCCCCATGCTTCCTGCCGGCTGCCTTGCTGCGAGGCCAAACACTCTGCTGCTCCCTGGCCGGCCAAGGCAGCTCCTGCTGGGGTGCCTGGATGGGGGAACAGAGCTGCCCTTGCTCCTCATGGCAGCAGTGGGAAGCCCAGACAGCTCATGGGCACAGCTGGGCATCTTCTGCAGCTTTCTTACTGCTTTCAGAAGCAAATACACTCTGGTATCCGCAGGTGGGAAATAACCTGGACACGGTCTCTGCTGCAGCGGCTGCCAGACAGGGCTCTCCAGGGTGGGGGCACAGCTCCTGTTGGGAGCCCCACAGGCTGCCCGGGGGAACAAGTGCTGTCCTTCAGCCTCAGCAGTCAAACCCTGCCCAGGACAGCCCCGGCAGCAGACCAGGAGGGCAGCTCAAGGAGGCCACAGGAATGCAGCATCTTGCTGCAGCACACCCCAGGCCATGTGACTGGTGCCATGGGAATCCAGCGGGCCCTGGCACCATGGGAATACAGTGGGTACAGTTTCCCACCAGCCCCAATGAGCTGGTGCACCAGGCACCCATCTTGGGCAGCAGGACTCCCACCACGTTTTTTCCATTTCTCCTGCCAAGTTTACATCTCACTGAGGAAAGAGAATGTACAACCACTTGCCTCTGATGGAGTTGGTGATTTCCAGCCTTGTGGCATCCAGCTGCACCCCACATGCCCATGGTGAGCACCACAGAGCCCTGCCAGCACCCCTGGCCCCAGATAGCTGTGTGCCAGGAACTGGAACTGCACTGCTGGATGTGCTGCTGCCGGCCTGGAGGCTCCCAGCTGCCCTGCATTCCCTGTTCCCACTGCCATGGCTGATCCCACTGCGCCAGGCACAGCCTGACAGCCGCTGCACAGCCCCGCTCCCAAACCCCTCCATCATTCAGAAGGCTGTACCTTTACAACTGCCCTTTCCGCCAGAGGATTCAGACATAAATTGTACTTTAAATTCAATATCAGTCATTAATATTTCATGATTACAAAACGTTAAGGATAATGTCACTGGGAAGAATGTCTGGGCAGCTAAAATGGATGAGTCAGAGCTCACCATGGGAGAAGTCAGAGCACTGAAGAGTCTCCCTGGCTTTTGAAGCGATCCAGCCTGACAGGCTTCCCTGCCAGAGGGGAGCTGCAGCATTTACTGACTTGTTCTGAAATCCTAGCCACAGCGTGTAAATATTGTCCTTCTGATTCTTGTCACCTCACGTTTCCTCTGGATGCTGAGTTGTGCTGCAATGCCACCATCCCCTCCTCCCTGCAGAGCCTCCCCATGGAGCCCCCAGTACAGGCCACAGCCAGAGAGTGCAGGGGTCACTCCCATCACCCAGCACAGAGCATTGGCACAGAGAGAGACTGGGATGCACCACGGAGACAGGGATATCCCCTCAGGGCAGTGGGGGTCTGGCCAGGCTCACTGACCCCTCCTCTCCCAGGGCCATGGCCCCTTGCCTGGCCAGAGTGGGTGGCAGGATCTGACCTCTGGGACCTAAGCCTTGAGCTGGAGCTTTGAACTTGAACAGCAGCTTCATCTCTCAAGAATGAACAAAGAAACACTCAGAGTGAAGCCTGGGGAAGGCTTCACAGACGGACAGGCCGTGGGACATGTCAGCAGGGATAAGGAGGTGCTCTGCAGCCACAGCAGCTCCCTGGTACCCACTGCAGGGCAGAGGCAAAGCACAGCGGGGCCCAGGCTACCCTGGTGACTTGCACATCCAAAATATGGAAAACTTTGAAGAATATGGCAACACCTTTCTGTTTCCCAGCACAGTGCCTGGGACAGTCTGCTCCCACAGTCCCTTCCCACTGCTACAGCCCCAGGACCTCCCATCCACTCCCTCTGTGCCAAGCCTGCACCACCCCAAGCACACAGGAGGCATCCAGAGCTACAAACCCTGGTGCAGGTACAGTCTGTGAATCCCAAACACTGGGAGCTCTGGCAGAATCAAGTGCTGATGGTCCCACAGTGCCACAGGGCTCCAGCTGACAGGACATCCACACACAGCATGTGACTGATGGGGGGAGGCAGGCGATGTGAGCACAGCCCCCCGGGAGCCCCCGGTGCTGCTCAGCAGGTGTGAGCACAGGCAGCAAGCTGTGCAGGGATGACTGGCAGAGATGGTGCAGAGATAACACAAATTTGATTAGTGTTCATCAAATATACTATTCGACCATGCTCCCTTATTAATGCTCGACTCAGGAAGAGTATTTTTAGGTTGTCTAGGGAGATGTCAGACTCAGCGCCGCTGCATTTATTTTTCTTTTTTACTTCAGTGTTGATTAACACTCGTGTTTTGGCCACCCCTGCAATGACAGCACTCATATTCCTCCTCCCGCCCCAGTCCACTTCTGCTCAGACTCTGCTCCACACAGCATTCCTCCATCTCACCTGCTTCCATCGCCAGGACAGTGATGTTGTGCCACCCTGCTGTCTCCCGGTCCAGCACCTTTCCTGTCACAATAGCCCCTGTTTTGGCGTCAATGTCAAAGATCCTCTCGGCATCCGTGCTGCGGTCGATGGCGTACCTGTGACCAGGCAAAAGGGGAAACCGTGAGCAGCTGGATGTGCCAAGCCCACCCTTACCACCAGCCCCAGGAGTACTGGAATCTAACACCACAGGCCCTGTATCACTGCTCTGCTCGTTCTGTGTTGCAGCATGGTACAGGGATGCCATGTTTCTACCAGGCTGCAAGCTCAGAGCCTTCAACTAAAATTACAGTGTGGCTTTTGGTGCATAAAGTGGAACTGTGCACAGACTTTGGACAAGGGGAAAAACCTGCTGTGAGGGGAACCTTATGTTCTGGATAGACAAAGCAATACAGAATTTTTAGGCTGTAACTTCACTCGTGACTCTGGGAAGCTTCAGTGCTGTAGGTTCTGGAAAAGCATAAACCAAACTGAAGGTGGGCACCTCTGCTCGAGGAACCCATCTCACCTACTGCCCTCTCTCCTGCTCCTGCATCCACCCAAGTGAGACACCCAGAGGGCAGCACACAGCAGGCTGTAAGCCAGATCTGCAGACACCTCAACTGCAGCTACAGCTGGCACAAAGCACAGGGACTGAACACGTGCAACTGGTGCAGCAATCCTGCCAGCAGAGCAGTGGGCAGCAGCCAGCTCCCCCCCATCAACACAGCACATCATGCCAGCAGCTCCAAGATTTGCCCTATTTCGAGCTTCCCAGTCCCAAAAGGAACAGGCTGATGAGCTCCTCCAGCTCTGGCTGTGTCCAGTTGCTCAGCAGACCCATCACAAGTGGCTCTCACTCTGCTCATTCAGCTGCTTCAGCACTGCCCCGAGCAGCCCCTCTTGAGGGTGGAACCCACAAACTCCCTGGGCTACCTCCAGAGAGCACGGTTCCACCTCTCCCCAAGGGCAACCCCACAGCTCACAAGGAGTCACACATCAAGTGTAGCCCTGAGCCGTCACCAGGACACCACAAATCCATGCATGTCCCACTGGCATGTCCTGCATTTCCAACCATTACACGTGGAATGGAGCAAGCCAACATTAAATCAGGGCACAATGAGATGTGAGCTCCTGAAGAAAAGGGCTGGAAGGGAAGCCTGATCCAGCTGAGGCCCTTGAGCACAGCCATAGCACAAATAACACAAACCACCACTGCAATCAGAATTAGAAATCCAGAAGGCCTGCAAATCACAAACAATACAGCATAATGTTATTGTGTACAGCATCTTTCACACACACTGAATCCCAGAGTGCTTCACAGAATTAAATAATACAAGACAGCAAAGAGTACAAAGGATAAATTACCAGAAGGAGGGCTGTGAATAAATTAAAGCCTTCAGTCACATGTCCAACCACAGAAGGAAGATAAATGTAGAGACAAAGCAAACTGGAAAGCTGGTGAGGTAGGACTGAGAGACCACATTGGACAGGAGCAGAGCAGGACAGGTCCAGGCTAGCAGCATGTTCAGGACTGGGGAAGTGCTCCATGTGCTGCAGAGCAGTTTTCCAGCTGTGGGCCCATGATCCACATGGCTCACAGCCAAGGAACATCAGCTCACCTTCATGTACAGGTGACCATAGATGGCCCTGTGCTGTTCTGCCCCTTGCCCTGGGATGGGACCAGCTGCAGATGGGAGTGCCTCTGGCAGAGCCGCTGTCCATCCACACAGCTCCATCTCTGATGGAGGCACACAAAAAGGCATTCCTACACTGTTTAAGATGTTACATAGTATCAGATTACATTCCCTAGCTCTCTCCCTTTCAGACAGATGGGGAGATGAGAGAGTAAATACAACAGCACTCGCTTGTAGCCAAATAAAAACATTAAAAAGTCACTAAATTCACTTGCACCCAGCCACCATCTAGTACTTATGTAGCTGAATTCCTCTTCCCCCCTTGCATCTAGAGGTGATTGACATTTCTCACAGAAAGCCAGGTGCAAGCTCATGTATCTCAGCACCAGCTACTAGGGACTGCCTGCATTTTCTGCCCCAACTCCCAGCTGGCAGCAGAGCTTTTACAGGCACACAGCCAGCTCCAAAAGGGACAGTGACACTGTCTTGGCATGTACTGCAGCCTCTCATCCACTCTGTTCACTCACTGCAAAGGAAAAGGAGAGGTATGGCCACTCTGAATTGTACAAATCAGTCCAATGTTCTGTTGGAAAGAGGAATAGACACTAGGATGACAACACCCAATACGTTTCCAGTAGCATTACTAATTCTACATAACTGCTTCCATTGTTCTCCCACATTACCTGACCTTGAACATGTCCTACCTTCCACTCTGTTCTTTCATGCTGTTAAGTTCAAGATGGTACTTCACCCTCCCCACAGCTTCCCTGCCTCTTGGATAAGCACATGCCTGTTTTGATCACACTTCTGTCCCTGTTGCATAGACAGAGACATCTGCAAAAAAAATAATCTACAGAGAAAAACCCAGCTAGTGATGGCAGACACCCCCAAGCCTGGACACATCTGACAGGGCTGCCTGCCCGGCCAGAGGGCAGGAGGATGGCAGGGAGTGTTCAGTGTAATGCCACTGGGAACCTGTTCTTATGCTTTTCCTTGCTTTGCTGCTGAGCTTGTCTTCTGCCCCTTCTGAATGGTCTGTGAAGGACATGCTGACTGTACCCCATGGCCAGGCACAAACCGAACCACAACTCTGATCCCTTTGTCACAACTGCTACAGACAACTGTCACCTTCTCAGTACTGCCCCAGGGAAGGAGACAGAGCTCAGCACACTGCCTCGGCAGGGCTGACCCTGCTGCCACTCACTGTGACTGTGGAGGTGGCCAGTCCAGGTGGGTCTGCAGCTCTCTGCAGGTGCCAAAGGCCATGGATGCTCTGGAGCACTCGGCTGGTGTGGGAGCTGGAGACTGGGAGGGTGGCACAGGGATGTCCATCCACCCCTGAAAGCCACAGCCATAACCTGCTCAGAGCTGCAGATCCCACAACAGACCTCACCTTCCAACAGCTTCCATCTCATCCCACTCTGGAGTGAGCAGCGCTTTGCTGTGCTCACATCATTTTATGCAATACAACCTTTACCACCAGCCTCTCCACCTCTGCTCCAGCTTCATATTCACCCATCCCACTGAAGTCAAACAGCGCTTCTCACCTGGGAAGAGGCAGCATTTAATCCCTCGTCCTCCAGGTACTCAGAGACAGGACCTATGCTCATCTCTCCTGCAGCTGGCTGGTGCTCCGTATCTGGAACCGCAGTCCCCAGCTCTGATTGGGATGCGGACCTTGTACTCCATTTCCCTCTCTTCCTGCTGGCACTGCCTGTTGGTTTGGATGTTACAAGTGACTGTTTAATTTTGACAGCTTTCTTGGTGCTCATCTTTCCCATCAATGCATTTCTCAAGCAGTTTGTTTCACTTCTCCCCCAACACAACAAGAAGCACATTTTATGCCATGTGTTTTGTTAATAGGGAGCTTTTCAAACACTGTATGAAAAGCTTTTTGTTGTGTTTGTTTTTTCCTCCTCTCCCTTTTGTATTGAAGCAGGTTGTAGTTCTTGCTGTGCTGTTGGAGTCTATAAAATGCCCATGTCCAACACGTGTCTCTGGATTTTGTGAATGCCAAACAAGAATATCTCTGAGAACCTTAAATCCCAAGCAACATCTTCCCAGTGCTGATAAAGCCTGGAATGCACACAATCAGAGCACAGGCTCCCACTGCAGAGAGAGAAACAAAAGGCTCCCATACAAACAGCCTCATACACACAGACAGTCTATCACTGTATTACTTCATACAATGGCTCAGCTGAGAAAAACTGCACTACGCCCAGAAAACACACAGCTAAAGCCAAAAAGCCAACTGGAAACTAATTTTTTTTTTCTGAGAAGGAACAGTTCCAGCCTTTGATAGGCAAAAAAACCAAGGATGGAATAAAATTAAAAGGACCAGACCTTTAGGAGGGCATTTCCCACACTGGCACAGAAGGTTTTGTGCCCCACAGAGGGTTCATACAGCTGCTTGGCCATGCTGAGCTCAGCACAGCACCCTGCTCATGCACTGGTGTCACTGGGAAGGTGTCCTTCTCTGAGAAACAGGGTGATCTCCAGGTGCCTCCTCACAGCCAAGGCAAGCAGCTGTCAGGGGCTCTGCAGCCGATGTGCAGCTGGCGTGAGGCAGTGAGGAGGTGCCACAGGGACGCCCCTTCAATCCTCACGTCTTTGGAACAGGTCACTGTGACCCAGTCCAGCTTGTGGGAAGGATTTATTCTCAGACCAGGTTGCTGCATCCTGTGGGACACATGGATCACCAGGAGGGCAGAGGAACATCAGGCTGGGATGTGCCTCTAGCAGTTGTTTTGGGCATTGCAGCAGGAGTTGCAGAGCATTGTTCGTGCTGGCCTGGGGCTGAAAACAAAAAGCCAAGGGCACCTCCCTTCCCATTTGGCTAAAAATATCTCCCAAACCTTGTTACTGGCAGTCCGGTGTCAGCAGGACCTGGAAACCCTGACAGAGCTGATTTCTGCTCTGCTGTCTCTGGCAATCCTTGCTCTTTCCCACCTCAAGGGGAGAGCGCATCTCGACATGACGGGAAGCGGTGGCTGTCCCCTGTACCCAGGCAGAGCCAGCACACAGACCCGAGTCCAGGAGAGCAGCCACTGCAGCAGCACAGCCGTGCCTCTGCTCCCACCTCTGGCAGATGAGGAGCAGGAAGTTAAAGGGATCCACTGAACTGCAGCAACTTCAAAGGATTCTTACCAGCTTCAAGGCGATGAGGATCAAATGCTGGTCATGCCGTCAGGACCAGGTGCTCTCTAATGTATCAGAGGTGAAGTACAAGTGCTGCCTTCTTGTGACTGTACTTCCGAGCAGCACACTTGAAAGGAGAGGTGACTTACTGCCGTCTCCTGCTGACGGGTTAGTGTCACATCCTGCTGCTGCAGGGTGCTGGCATTAATGTCTGTGCACTGCTTTGAAGCTGTTAACAGCTGCCTACGCAGCAAAGAATTTTATTAAATTACCTGGCTAGCCAGAGGACAGGGAAGCAGGAGGGATCCAACTGTACCTTCCTCTTGCATTGGTGCTGCATCAGCACGACCAATATCAAACTGCAGGTCCACTTGGTACACGTTAAAATGTCTGTGAAGGCTCAGCCGGCTGCACTGTCACTGTCCATGACAGCAGGGACTGAGCACAGAGGGAGTGAAGGATGGACCAAGTCCCACAGGGCAGCGTGGGGGACACAGGATGAGCTACCTGCCTGGGGATAGCTAGAGGCAGGACACGTCTTTGAATGCATCAAGCCTGACAAGGGAAAACACATGGCAATTCCCAAGCTGCAGCAGATGCCTGGGAGTCCTGTTGGCTGAGTCCCTGTCTCTGAGCACGAGGCACTGCCTTGCCAGCACTGAGCTCACTGTAGGAGAGACTCCCAAAGTGAAGTTTGGGCTCCCACCATCTCTCTCCTGCCCAGTACTTGAATCTGCTTCTCTCTGGTCCACGTCTCCATCACCTTCTGTACAGCATGAAGAGAGTCCCTCCACTGCTTTCTTTTTGGTCTGTATGCAAACAGTGCAGCAAGCTCCACAGGGAAGCAGCACAAAGAGCAAGAAAAAACAAGAAAAAGAATAGTTCTGTCCCTTCTGTCCCCAAGGTCCCTTTTCTACAATTCCAGATCAGAAAATAAAATCTATGTTCTGCAGCACTGCTGGAAACAGTCAAGTGAAAAAGCACACGCACCTGTGCACACACACAGGTATGTGGACACACCACCCTCCTGTCTGTCTCCCTGGCAGATATGTGCTCAAGGGCAACAAAGAAAGAAATCAGACAGGTAGCCTGACTGGAGAGGGACTGGAGAGTCACACGACAACAAGAGCAGATGTTGAGAACACATTCAGCACCCACCTAGTGCAAGCGGTGCAGCACTCACATACACAGTTCTTGGCACACCAAGGCTGATTTCATTCACATTCCCCCCCAAGTCAACTCTGAGCATCCAGCTTTGTGACACAGTACTCTCTGCTAGCTGCCAGGCATCTGTAGATGGCAGCTTTCCATGTGTAAATGCATTTCTGAGCTTTCTAAACATCACAGTGTTTGTTTCCATGAGGATCAGGAGATCTCCTCACCTCACCACAAAACAGAAACCCATGGCTGCACAGCATTGAGCAGGGTGCCCCAAACGGGCACTGGAGGACATCACTGAATGCAACCAAGTGCTGTAACAGGGCCCTCTCTGGCCTGTCCCCCCCACCCCACATCTCTGTCCCTGTCCTTCCCAGTCTGTTGCTGTGGGGCTGACTCCCTGCAGAGCTCTCAGCCAAAGCCCGTGCTGCTCCCTGGAAGTGAGCGGCTCCACGGGCGCCTGCAGCCCCGCCGGCACCTGGCACCAGAACACACATTTCAAGGAAATTTTCCACACATTGAGGATGTTTTCTGAACACCAGATTTTCAACCCAACTGCTCATGACTCAGGCCAGTTGGCAGGGGCAGAAGGCTGCTTTGTGCCTTAGGTAATAACAATTTAACAAGGTAACAATCTCTTTAGCCACAAATTAAATGGAAATGGGAAATGTCCTGTGCAGATAAGCTGCTGCCTGGATTATGTCCCCTGCCCAAATATAAACTCCTCTGATCTTTGATCCTATGCACACATGCACGCACACACAGACAGGCTGTGGCTCTGCACCTCCCAAGCCTCACCTCATTTATCACCCTTCACCACTGTCCTCCTGCCACTCCCGGTGTCTAGCCTGTGTCAGGTACCACTGCAGATACCTTGCTGTCAGCAGCAAGGACACACAGGCATCACCTAGGCACCTTCCCTGACACTCCCTTGCACTCACAAAGCCATCACCTGCCAGTGACGTATCTGCCACCGAGACCACTGTGCTTGCTCTTGCACAGGCTGCCACTCACCTGCCAGCTGCTGTCCCACGAGACACTCACACACATGCAGCACTTGCCACTTTTACCTGCACTCTCCCACCTCCTCTGTCCCTGCCATGGCCACAAGCCCTCCCAGCCCACATGTCCCTTGCAGATGACCCCGTGCCCACTGCAGGAAGGGGGATGACGTCAGGTTTGGACGGCTGCTTTACCGGACAGGGTGGTTTGCTGTGTCCGGGTCCAGGGCAGTGACCACCCCCACGATAGATCCAACATGTGCATCCTCCTGGACCTCCATCAGGTTGGAGGGGGGCCGGAACTCGGGGGGCTCATCGACGTCCAGCACTGAGACTCGAACAATGGTCTGGTCCCGAAAGGTGCCCAGGTCCACGAACCGCGGGTCCACGAACTTGTTGAGGGCCTCCACCACGACAGTGTGCACTCTTTTTGACTCGTAGTCAAGAGGCTGGGACAAGGGAAGAGGGTAAGCCACAGCCAGCCCAAGGAGCCCCTCTGCTGCCCCTTCCTTCACCAGAGACACCAGGGCAGCACTAGAGCCACTAAAGCCACTAGAGCCACTAAAGCCACCTGCTCTCAAGCAGTGCCCTTGTAGCAGCCTGGGAGCTTTTGCTTTGTCCTTCTGCCAGCAGCACCCAAACCAAGGGGGCAGAAGGAAGCAGAAACCTCAGTCCACTCCCCTCAGGGCCCCTAACAGGGTGCCTGGGCTGTGAGCAGCCAGGATTCACTGGGAAGACAGCACAGTGTGTGCTGCACATGAGCGAGTTTTCATCATTAATCACCCCACTCTTATTTCTACAAGGGAGGCAAGCTGCATACAGTGGCCTTGAAGAACAATCATTCTTTTCTGCCTGCACCAAGTATTTGCTTGATTGTTTTTGCCACCAAAAGCAGATATAGTTAAAGTGCTTCTGGTCAGGTACAGGAATTAGGTGGGCATTTTTCTCCTCTAACAGGTGCTATCAATAACAGCTGTAAGCATTCCTCTTTATAGTCCTATGCATGGTGTCTGCTCTGCACAGCTCACTGCTTCACTGCCACCCCCAAGCCACCCTGGGGGACTCCAGCAGGCACTCTGTGCTGCTCCTTCTCAGTCTTTCCTCCCAGACACAGCCCTGTGTTTTGCCATGCAGGCAGAGCAGAGTCAGGTCTCTCCCTGCATCAGCAGGCACAAAAAAGCAACTGCTGCTGCTAGAGCAGCACTCAGAGCATTTTCTTCAATTCAGATTCAACAGCAGCAGTCCCCAAAGGAAAGGGTCCTCCTAGGGACCTGTGCCCTCCCTACTCAATCAAGACTTCTCACCTTCTGTACCGTGATGACAGCCTCTTGGGTATTGCTGTCCGTGGTGACTTTGAACATCTCCACCCCCTCCTCATCCTTCACTTGATATGTCATGTCCGTGTTCTCTCCGACGTCAGAGTCCTCTGCCTTCACCCTCCCGATGGCAGTGCCCACGGGGGCCGTCTCAACAATGCTGAACTGATACATCTCTGGAGGAGAAATGGGTACCAGGGTCACTTCTTCTGCCTTTGAACCAGCCCCAACCTTCACAAACTTCCCTGGGGCACCTTTGGGATGTGAGGGTTGCTCAAACCCCACTGTGTCCACAGTCCAGAATGCCCCAACAAAAGAAGTAAATACACCAGCCAAAAACAAGGGCTGAGGGAAGATAACTGGGGAGCACTGACATTCCAGGTGCTGTGTGAAATAAGGGCTGATTTCTCTGCATGGACACTGCCCTGCAATCAGTGCTCTCTGATTCCTTGCAAAGATTCCTTTGCAATTTCTGATTTCTAGGAGATGCAGCCCAAGAGCTGAGCCTCCTCCAGCTGCAGCCCCTTCCCTGGCCTGCCAGCCTGGAGAGGCCAGGCCTCAGCTGAAGTGCATGGCAGATCCACCACAGCCCACTCCTTGCAGCAGGATCACCCTATACCTTGTCTGGGGAGGGTCCCAGACCAGACACCAGCACCAGCCACAGGCCATTAGCAGCAGGTTGGAAAACAGAGCTGTGCTGTGACAAGGCTGCTGTCCCTCAGCAGTGTCGCTGTCCTTGCACTCTCACATTCTCACACAGCAGCCAGGAGGGGCCAGGCCAGTAGCCAAGTTCCAGCCCAAGCTCCCAGAGGGGACAGCAGCATGGTGGACCTCGCTGGCTTCCAGCTGCTTGGAAGGGCTCAGGAAAGGGCTGGCCCTGCTCTCCTACCACACAAGCCATGCCTGCTTCCAGGACCTGCACTGGAGCAGGGATCTGGCACCCACTGTGCTGCCAGGCAGGGACACATTCACACCCAGGCCAGGAGCTGCCATGGTCCTTTGGTATTGTCACCCTGCCAGCAGCTGGAGTGGCCAGGCTGGCTCAGCCTGCAGGTTCCATCCCACCACCCACAGGGAACCAGGACATGCTCCAGCACCCACCCCCACGGCCAGCAGGACTTACTCTGAGGGAAGCGTGGTGGGTTGTCGTTGACATCAGTGACCACGATGGTGACCGTGGTGGAGCCAGACAGGCCACCCAGCTGTCCTGCCATGTCTGTTGCACGGATCACCACCTCATAGCGGTCCTGTGTCTCGCGGTCCAGGTCTGCCACGGCTGTCCGGATCACACCTGGAAACCAGCAGGACAGCTGAGCACAGGCAGGTCACAGAGCCACAGACAGGGTGAGGCTGGAAGGGGTCACTGGAGATTACTTTGGACAAGATCCAGACCTAGTATCAGCTGAATCTCCCTCTTCACACAGGGCAGTTGCTCCAGGATTTCACCAACCTTCATGGCCCTTCCCTGGACTCACTCTGGTATGTCCACAGAATCATATTTGGTATCAGATATGGCACTTGCATCTCAGCAGTGCACAATAGAAGGGACTGTCACCTCCCCTGACTGCTGGGGACACTCTCCCCAAGCACAGCCCTGGTTCTGCTGGCTGCCTCTGCCACAGGAACTCACTGCTGGCCACAAACAGTATCTGCTCAACCCCTCTGCAAGAGGTCACATCAGCATAAGCCAACTAAGGGGAGACAAGGCCACTGGGGAGAAGAACAAGCCCTGGGGATTGTCAGCCAGCCAGAAACATCCCAAAAATCCTCCTGAAGCCCAGGAATGGCCACAGGCCCAACCTGCTCCTAGCAAGTCTCCTCATGAAGCGTGAAAGAGTCCCAACTGCTGCTTTTCCTGTGGGCTACTTGCAGTTCCCACTGGGTTAAACCCTGGCACAGAGAAGGTTTGTGCTTTGAGGGTGACCGTGAGGTGGGTGAAAGATCTGCTCAGAGGATTGGTGGGGGCAGGAGTCACAGGAAGAGGACTCATCCTCACCCCCATCCAAATGCAGGGGCTGGCTGGGGCCAGCCTCAAGGTCCACTCTGTAAAAACCCAGGCTGAGTCACAAAACCCCTCTGGCACAGATCTGCAACAGCCCACTTCTCCTGATCTGCTGAGAGGGGTCAGGCTTGCTGCAGCACCCCTTACAGAACAGGGGTGCCCCTGCCCAGGCTCCATCTACCAGGCACATCTCGGGGGGACTTGTGTGATTTGGAGAATGGGGGAAGCACGTTTCTAAAAGTCTGTCAGCACAAAACCCCTCGTTTTCAAATGTCCTTCTAAGTTAAGGAGACAAGAGACGACAAAACACATGCTCTGTGTCAGAGAATGCACTGGAGCTTAACAAAATGAATGGTATGGTAGTACTTCTTACAAAAGTAAGTCTCTTAAAAGCAATGTTTATAGGTCTCCAGTATTCATCTGGGATTGGGGAAATGACCAGGACTAAAATATCAAGGTTTGTAAAACAAGAAACAAAGAGCAGTAAAAGCCTGAAACCTCTGTGAAATGCAGAAATTACCAGTTACCCACAACTGTTTAATTTACAGGGAAACAAAGTAGGGAAGAAAAATTTTGAGGATGAAAGAAAGAAAGAAAGAAAGAAACTACTCTGCCCTGACGTGGCACCAGGGTCAGGAAGGAAGGAGCGCCTACATGGATACAAGGTCATTAGCACCACACTCCAGTCCCACTGTACCAGCAACATCCCATAACACACAGGAATCAGCTTAAAATCCCTCCTGCTCAGTTTTTTAACATTCCCACAGATTTAGACATTGGTTTATGCTTTTGTAAATCCTCTCTCTTCCAGGGTTTTCTGTTTAACTATCAGCTTTACCTCCTCCTGCTGTGAACTGCAAATTCATCTCTGCTTTGTTTCACCAGCAATCCTGCCCAGTGCTAAGGACAGTACTGGAGGAGGCTGCTGGAATGGGTCTCCAGTGAGGGGTCTGACCCAGGGGGAACAGGGAGCTCCCTTCTTGCTGAGCAAAAAGCAGAGAATCACCCAGTGGTCTGAGCACCTTACAATCCATTAGCTGGACGTGCAGCACATCGAGCAGTGGTAGAGCATCAAGGCTCCAAGTCACCAAGAGCACAGCACAGGCGGAGCTGAGTTCCAGCAGGCTGCAAGGAGCCAAGAAATGGCTACAGGGATAGCCCCAAGGCTACCAGGCATCTGCACTCCAAGGCCAGCAGGTTTCCAGTCTCCCTGTTCACGTGTCTGGTGTGGCACTGTGCACCTCCAGACAAGGGCTCACACCATGGAGCCACCGGCACTGTGGCCCAAAGGCAGCCAGAAATGCCACGGAGCTGGGAGGATGAAATTCCTCCCCCTCGCCCTTTGCATGACATTACAGGTGCAGCAGGAGCTGGCAAAACCGTTCAGGAGACATTTATCATTCCTTCCTCTCAGAAACTAGCAATTATTCCAATGATTAGCATTGTTAGGATTTATTATAAAGACATAACCACCATTTCAGATCGTTGCCATTCTCCAGCTCTCATGGATAGGCACAATTAGCACCCAGCTTCCCTTGTCCATCTGTCACTTCAGGTTCTGTAATTACCTGCACTCTCCTGCCTTCAGCCCCATGGATAAGGGAGCAGGAGATTACCCTGTGATGGGGCCCAGGGTCTGCTCTGACCCCCTCATTCATCCTGGCTCTGCTCAGAGGAAGCCACTCAGCAAGGAATCCCACCAGAGGCAGAGGGAATGCAGGAAAGGGAGGCAAGAACGTGTCTGTGGGCACCCATCCCAGCAAGGATGGCATCCTCCCATGTGGGCACCAGGGCCAGCCCTGCACAAACACCCAGGGCTCAGGGAGCAGCCCCAGCAGCTCATGCTGACAGGCCTCTCCTGCCACTCCACTGTGAATACAAAACTGCTATTTCTGGGCAAGCACTATCTCATTGAAATTTAAGCAATTCTGTTAATTAACGGGGTCTGAAGCATTTTATAATGAAAATGATTCATGTCAGCACAATAGTGATGAATTGGGATGAGAGGAAAAAAGCTCATGCATTCACCAAGGCTGTAATGACTTAACTGAGCTGCTCGTAATGATATAGCTCATAATACGCCATGCAAGATGGGAGGAAAGTGCTCAGGCACTTCCCAGAACACCTCCAAGGTCACTTGTCCCAACAGGGAGCAAGTCCAGGCTGTTTGGCACATGCAGAGTAGGACAAATGTCCCCAGCCAGCTCCTGTTCTTCCAGCAGCACAAGGCAGACAAAATCTCTACCTGTGGCAGGGGTGGAGACTGATGAGAAACTCCCTCTCATGGTGTTGTGTGTCCAGTCCATCCTGCAAAGGTGGGGATCTGCTGCAGACAGACTGCCAGACCTCCAGGGGCCCCATCAGGATTGTCACTGGCACGCTGTTCCCAAAATGCATGGGTCACATCAGGCCACCAGCCCAAGAGTAAGGCTGCTTTTGTCTTCCAGGCCGAGGTACCACTCACCATTTGCGAATGGCCATGGCCAATGAGGGTCTCCACACATGCTCCACATCCATGTGGCACTAAGGGCACTGCCTTAAACATCCACCAGCTGCAAACCCACATGGACCCATCTTTCAGAGCCAAGATAGTCTCTACTCCCAAAACCTGACCCCCAGGGACTCTGCAAAGAAGCTGCAAGGGATGAAGACAGACCTTCCTCAAGGCTGTACAGAGAGCACAGAAAAGTCATTGCTATCATCTCCCAAGATTCACCTTCTTTCCAGCTGGAAAAACTGACAAACTTTGTCTTTCCCAGACACTGCTAACAAAGCAAGAACAACCTCGAGCTCAGACTTGTCTCCCCCGCTCTTGTCAGTATCTGTTATAGCTGAATAATGTGGACACATGGTGGCATACCCTCTGGTACAAGGCACATGTGGCTTTCCAGCATGATCTAGATTAATCAGTATAATTACCAGGAAAGGGGACACTAACAGCATCACATAAATACCACTGAATCTGCTCCAAAGGCAGACTCCCTTTGGGTGATAAAAAAGCAGGACAAAGCACTCAGCAGGTAGCTGCCTTCCAGGACTCCCATCATTATGGGCTTTGCTCTGCTGGGTCAGATGTCCACATCCTCAGAGACTGTCTGGACAAGGCACCTTCCAGCTGAGGGTAGGAGGAGCAATAAGCCAGAAAGTCATGGAGTAACAAACAGGGACCTATCCTAAAGAGGTTCCTGATCCATCTAGAGCTCAAAGCAGGCATCTTCAAAGGCAGATGAGATTACCCTGGGCCATAAAGAGTCAAGTGTTTAGTATCTCCAGGGATAGAAGTGCCACCACCATGGTGACAAGCCTTGTCTTCCTGCCATTTGGGTCTTTTTACTGTGCATGCCTGAGAAGAAACCGGGTCTGTCTCCTCTATCCCTCTCCTATTTAGCTGGATAAAACAGATTAATTTCTGCCAGCAGCCTGGTCAGTCAGATCAAACCCATCTCTGCCTCAGGCCAGGAATAGCAAGGCACCTGCCAAACAGACTGCAGATTCCTCACCTGTGCCCTCACCTGCCTGCAGGGACACAGAAATACCAGTATATCTTCCAAGACACGAGTCCTGCTGGAAGCACACATCCTGGAGGAGGTCAGGCCATGCAGAAGAGGTCTTGGCCCCAAGAACCAGCACTTCAGTCACCCTCCAGCCCCACATCCTGTACTTCAGCTCAGCACAATTTGAGAGACAGAAGCTAAAGGTGCTCTGAGTGAAGAATGAGGCACAAAGGGTCAGGAGGTTCATGGAGCACCTAACAAGGGCTTGTTCCAGGCTGCAATCAGCCTTGCCCGTGCCAGAGACATGTGCAGAGAGCACACTCGCCCTAGCTTTGTCCCTTCTTTTAGCAGCTGAGTCCCTCATCACTTAACATTAATTCCCTTGGCACTTTAGTAGATACACTCTAATTTCCTCAAGATGACCAAACATACAATTTGGTCCCAAATCAGCTGAAGTTCCTGTACCAGTCTCAGAAAAGAGCTGTTAATGCTCAATCTTGCTAACAAGAGGAATCCCCTTACAGAAATGTGGCTTCTCTGCAGACTCTTGTGCCTTAGACTTCGTTGTGCCTGTGGACAGCTCTGGTGGAAAAGAGACAGGGATGGGGAACAGACCTGCACAAGCCCCTGGGCACACAGGAACACACACATTCTGACACATCTGTGTTTCCAGGCACCAAGGAGCATTTTTAATGAACTGGCAAGAGCAGCAGAGAAACGTGTTCTGCCTCCCACCACCACATCACACAGATCAACAGCTCATCAGCCCAGCTCAGTGAGCAGCAGGCTCCCAGACACAGCTCCTCTCCCAGTCCAGCCTTACTGCCCCAGGACCAGGGCTGTGGTCTGTCTCCAAACACAGCAAGGCTGGCAGGCAGGGATGAAACAACTAAGGACTGCACACAAATAACCATCAGCTTCATCCCAGCAGGCTGGTATCTCCATTCTCCTTGGCATAAAAAAGCTCCAAGTTCTTACCAGCTCAGTCTTTAAATCAGGACACAGGCTCTAGAACTCAGGAGCTGGTTTAAGTCATCACAAATACCAGACTGCATTTCAAATACCTTCTGAGTTCTTCTGCCTTTTCTCTGCATTCAGCAGAGTGACAGTTTTGAAGAAGAGCTTCTTCCTCACCGTAAAAAGCCAGGTTCCCATGCACAGCCCCAAACTGACAAGCTAGCTTTTAAGGAAAGCATCAAACATCACAAAACCTGTGGTGTTACATGCTCTGGTTGCTCTATAGCACTCAATATCCCTGAAAAGGGATGAACAAGACTGCTGGAAACACGGGCATCAGGTTGTGGGGTGTTTCAGGTTCCCTCCCAAGGAAGACTGTGTGCAAGGGATCACAGACAGCAGTGAGTCTCCAGCCACACTGCCCAGGGATAAGAAAGGGCACTGCAAAGGACACAGGAACAGACACGAGCAGGCAATCACAGCTGCCTGCCAAAAGAGAGATTTGCCCCTATAAAGGTGAATAATCTGCAGTGGTACAGAGAATGCAGGGTGATCTAAAGCAGCATGAAAACACAGCATGAGGATTGAAATGCAGAGATTTTTCCTCTCATGTAAATGCACTGAGAGTGCCCACACTCAGGTGCACATCTCCATATTGGAAAAGCATAAGCTTGAAAGATTTTAGTGAGGATGAGATTCCTGGAGCTGGAACAGGAGCTGCCACTACACCTCCCACCCTGTGTAACACTCTGGGCATAGCTGGGCTCGTGGCCCAGCAGCAGCGAGAGGGATTCTGCTGTCAGATTAGTGCTCTCACCTAGAGCCAACACCCACCACAGCAGCAGAAGAGGCTGTTTCCCACTGGAAGCAGCAGGGCAGAGCTGTGTGCTGGTCACCACGAGAGCACAGCCTCCTCAGGAGATCAGGGCAGCCACAGCACAGGCACTGCTGCTCACCTGCTGCAAGGAGCAAAGATTGGCTGCACCCTGTCTGAGTGAGGAAGGCAGCACAAAGCTTACAAAGCTTAATGCCTGCAGGCTCTTGCAACAAGCCACGGGGATATTCTTACAGTTGGCAAGAAAACCTTGCCTCAAAAGCTTACGCATACAAAGCTCCCCACTCACGTGAAAAAAGCCAGCCTAGACCTTCAGCACACACAGGTGAAGTTCTTGAACCTGATTTGGTGTACACAACACAAGTTTCAGTCTGTGAAACTAATCTCAGAGCATGAGAGTGGCTGGTGTATATGGAAGAAAGAAAAGCTCATGCGTATCAGCTGTGCTTTCTCTTCACCATCATTCAATTCTGGAATCTTCCTACAGCAAAAATGCCATCCTGCAGCTCCCAGTATTCCAGTGGAGCCATTTAGATGCTTGTCTCCCTCCAAAAAGATCCGAGATGCTGCAGGCATTCAGGGCTTGCTGAGTGGCAGGACTTGGCACAGCACAGCATCCAGACAGTTTGGGTCTGCCTGTGAAAGGTCCATTGAATACGAAATCCCAGCTGAACACTACAGCTGGTAACATCCAAGAACAGGAGACAAAGTCAGCTGCACATGGTCCATGTTCTGTACTCAAGCATGGAAACCACTTTTGTACGTGCCACACCTGTGCTATGAAGGAGGGTGTGAAAAGAGCACAAGGCAAGGAGGGAAGAAAGAACCTGTACTGGAAGGAGCTGGGGGCTGAGGTGGTGTGCAAGGCAGCACATGCACGCATGGACTTGCAAGAAATGGCAGAGAAGGAGGTCAAAACCAAAAAGGGAAATCAAATTGTTCTTCATTATCATATATTATAAGAAATGTAACATGCCAGGTTTTTATGGTTCTTTTTATGGCCATTAATAACAATGGTGGCTCTGAGAGCTACGCTGCTGCTATGGATAATTAAATCTTATGCTCAGGGCAGAAGCGGGGCCACCCCAGGCTATCAGACCTGGATTCCCCTGTGCAGCATAAAGACTTATTCTAACAAAATAAGAGTGGGAGCAGGTTGGGGTGTGCTTGGATGGATATGATGACACCATGTGCCCCCACAGCACTGCTGCATCCACATGGGCCAGCGCTGACAGAGGGACTGACAGAGGACAGGCTGAAGCCACAACTTGAGTGACTGATGGGCAGAGCTGCAGCCCTGCAGTTCCTGCAGTGCTGGTGAGGCAGCTGCCACAGGCCATTTGCAGCTCAGACACCACCAGAGTCAGCCCCAACACCTGTATTAGCAGCCAGATATCCTGGAAACAGATGTGCTCAAGAGGGGCTGGAGTCTTCTGCAGACTGTCAGCGATTTTGCCTTTATGAAACACAAGCAAGTAAAACAGTAAATCAACCCCCCAGTGTAGGAAACAGCCAGCTTGAGAATTAAGATACAAAAAGTCAAGGAATCAAGAAGCTTGGATTCCCAGAGTGACATTAATTTTCACCACAGTCCCACAGGGCACATTTTAGTTTATGCCTTAATACAGAACATTAATGTGGCAGGAAGCTGAGCCTCTGCACGTCCTGGCTTGTGCAGTTTGCTCCCAGTGGTCCCTCTCCATTCTAGCAGCCAGACTTCCACTCACACAAAGCTGTCTCAGATTAACAGGATCTCATGTGCACCTGAATTTTCAGTGTTTAGCCTATTATTGCTACACACACATTATAAAACAAAGCAAATCTGGGAGAGAAGAGAGCCCAGGTGCAACAGCTCCTGAGCAAGGGGTGGGTACAGCCCCAACCTGCTGCTTGTGCCCTCTCCCCACTGAACCAGCCTCAGTCCAGAAAAAGGCATTTCCCACCACATGCCACAGTGCTGATGTCAGGTGTGTGTAGGAGCTCCCAAACTCCAAATCTGAGTGTTCCTCCAGCAGCAGCCAGGCTGGTGGCAGAGCCAGGGCTGGGACCACCTTCCCCATGTGTACCAGAGCATTGTCACAATGTACAGGGTTTCTTGCAGATGCAGAGGCTCAGGCACACAGACCTTCTTTTACACTCTCCTTACACCAGCATCTCCAAACAAATTTAACTCTGACTTACACAAAAACAGCCTTAGAAAATATCTATCAGCACAGACACAGATCAGCCTGACAGAGACTTGGTACTTCAGCCCAGGGGCTGATCTCAGTCCATGCCCCTGCAGTTCAGCAGTAGGGTGGGGAAGACTTTGCTGTCCAGTTTCCCAACACAAGCTGCAGCTTCTCAGCCTGCTTGTCATTTGACAAATTTTCATTAAACTATGGGCACTTTACTGCATGCTTTGTGCCTTAAATATCACTTATTAGCATTTGAGTGTCTTCCCTCCTTAGCAAGCTTGTGAGGCTCCCATTAAGGGTAATGAGAGTCAAACTCCTGGGAGGCAAGGAGAATATATACCCCAACATCCCCTGGTTATGGTCTGCTCTAACCAGTATGTCAGAGCATCATCTGCCACAGATTTATTACAGAGGCATTTTACAACAGGCTCTATTATAAGTTATTAAGGAATGGAGCAGCTTCTACTGTTCTTTCATTAAATATTAATAGAACATTTATAAACCTATCCTTAATTTAAAGTGTTACCTTTAATCAAAGCCCTGGTGATAATGATGCAGCCTTTGGTAAGGCCCCTTTGGTAGTATTTAAACCTTCTACACTGAAGTTTTATGTGCCTGTGGGGCATTCCAGCTCCAGGCAGAGAGGAGCTCTGGCCAGAGCAGGTGCAGACCAGGCACTCTGGGCTGGCAGCTGCAGATCCTGCCTGCAGGCAGGGCATGGAGCTGGGCAGCAGCCTGAACAAGGCTGCTGAGCTTCCTCTCCAGCACCCCTGCCAGGAGTATCCAGCATCAGTGGCCAGCAGGGAGGCACAGATCTGCTGGCTCACACTCGTGCCCAGGACACACAGCCACTGTTGGGTCTCCTGGCCCAGCCCAGCTGGGTGCTCACCTGTTTTGCTGTCCACAGTGAAGTGCTGCTCCCCCTCCAGCACACTGTAGACTACCCGGGCACTGCTCCCGTAGGTGGGGTCGTCGGCATCGGAGGCCATCACCTGCATCACAGAGGTGCCTGCAGCAGGGACAAGGGGGAAAACAAAGTCAGGAGTTTAGAAGAGCAACACAGACCTCAGTGCAGGGCCCAACACTGATTGCTTGCAAGTGATGAGGGAAAAGAGAACAGCTGGGTGCAAATGCAGCATCACCTCCCCACCAAAAGCCTGAAAGCCAGGATTGCAGACACTGCTGCAAATGCCTCTGGTGTGCTGCACAGTGGAAGCAGGGTCATCCTGGGTCAGGACCTGCTCTCCAGGAGATCACTGGTCTGAACAGCTGGGAGCTTTTCTCCCAGTAGCCTTCTACTGGACCATCTGGGAAGGAGCTGGGGATGTCATACTCACACCTGCCCTTCCTGTCAGCACACGGTGACATGGTCACCTCCAGACCACAGAGGGACCTCCCAGCTGGGGCCTGATCCACACTGCAGCAAGCAGAACTGCACAGGGACTACAGCCCGAGGAGAGGAAAGGCTTTCACTTGCCCAGAGCCAGACATAGCACCAGGTACTCATGCTCTACACGTAGCAGGGCAGGAGGACTATAAATTGGATGAAAGTCCATCAAATGTCTGCAATTAAGTTATTGATTTTCAAGGCTGCCTCATTAAACTGGGTACTTCACTCCAACTGTCCCTGTGATGGCTTTAATTTGACATCATGTTCAATTTAACAAAAGCAGGACGCAGGGTGGGGGCAGGAGCAAAGGGGCTGAGATCTACAGAGACAAAAGAAGGGAGGGAGGAAGGAAGGAAGGGAAGCCTACCCCTACCTACAGACACCTTGAGAAAGGAGGTGGTGTGACCAAGCACTGTGAGGACAGGCTACCCTCTTTCATGTGCAGCACCACACTCGGTGCATCCCTGCCCAGAGGTCAAGCACTGGCACCAGGCAGTCAGAAGCAGCCTCTGTTCCTATGTCACAGCAGGCAGATATGGAGCTAAAACCATCCAGAAGGGGATGAGCAGCTTCAGTCCCTGGTGCCCTCCTCCTCCTTTGTCAGGAGACCACAAGCCCAGAGCCTGCAGGCAAGCCAGGGATTTCCTGCACCAGCCCTGCCTGGACTCAGGCACAAGATGAGGCAGCATAGAGAGCAGTGCTGCTGTGAGCAGCTGGGATGCACATGTTCCCCCCAGTCCAGTTCACTCTGATCTCCTGGAAAGGGTGTTCACGGAGGGAAACGAGCAGTTACCATGGTTGCTTTTCATTCTCCCTAGCAGCCTTCTCAGAGCTGCAGCTCTGCTGATAACAGGAGAATCCCCCTCATCAGTCTTCAGCAACAAGCTAGTTTGAGTCAACTTATTTATGCTTTGCTGTCTCCAGTGAAGTTATGGTGCATCCCTGCCAGGCACGTCCAGATTTTACACCACGGCAACACTGGCTCTCTGCCTTGCAAACAACTGTTTAAGAAATACTATTGCTGCATTTCCTCCTCCTCTCCCTGCCATAACACAACTCCTTCAAGCAGGTACGAGCCAAGGCAGATCACCCCCACACCAGCACTGAACATTCCCTCGGGCATCCTGGCACATTCCCTTGGGAAGTTTTTGATCAGAAAGCAAAAAAAGGGACCAGAGAAGGGAAATGACACGAGGATCTCCAAGCATCCTTCTCTCAGCTTCAGTAGAGAAGCCTGCTAGGGATGCTGGAGGTGCCAAAGTCTGAGAATCACAGAAAGCAGTACCTGCCCCTGGGAACAAGAGAGAACTCCCTCTGCACAGCCTGGCAGCAATCAGCTGAGAGCCTGGTGTCCACAGCAGCACCCACTCTGCACCTGCAGCACAGGCAGAGCCTGCTGACTTCGCACAGACATCCCACGCTCCAGAAACCACTTGTTCCTGCTGAGGAGATTCAAAACTCACCCACAGGTACCCAAGCCCATCAGTTATTTCCCTGGCCTTGCCCTGTATACTCTGTGTCAGGACTGCACCTTTGCACACAGAGCAGGTGCCCCAAGGAGCACACCACAGCCTGCTGTTCCTGCCATCTTTGAGCAGTCATCCCAACCAAGGGATCATTAGAGGCAGGGTGGCCACTAAACGTTTGCACCAGACTGCATCTCATGCTGCTTCCCCCAAGAGGCATTCACTCCATCCATAACTGACCTCCTAATCCATCCCTGTCAGACACAGCTGTACTCCCTGTGTTCCAGTATTTACCTGAATGCTGCAGAACTGCAGAGTCTGAAGAGGAGGCAGGACCTGTGCCCACCCTGAGCACAGTTTGTGTCACCATTCTAAGACATGCCTTGGACAGGTGAGGTGGGCTGCTGCTCTCAGGCTTCCTGTGCCAGCACTGAGAGCTCCTAGCCCACAGCTGCTTGGGCACTCCCAAAAAATGGGCAACAGGGCAGCAGATCCACCTCCAGATCCCAGGGCTGAGCCCCATGTTTGGGACCAGAGTTTTCTGCTCTAAGGCAAGGGAAACCAAGGAGCACGAGGAGCACTGCAGCAAGACACCTTCACTCAGAGGCAGAGATGGGGCACAGTGCCCTTGGGCTGCAATGCCAGAGGTGATGAAGGCTTTGCCCTTCCCCACCTACCCTCACAGCATCTCATTAACAAAAGAGCAACATCAGCCAGGTAGGGAACACTGACCCCACTTTGTGCCTTGACTTCTTGTCTGTGAAGGTACACTGCAGCCTGCTCAAGGTCACCTAAAGGGTATCAGGAATTCACTAGTTCAACTTTCCAGCATCCTCCCCTAACCTCCACTTATCCCTTTCCCGCCCCTCCCTCCCACTCTCTTTCCATGTGAAGAGCAGTGGTATTCAATTTCAGCTTAACCTGGTCCCCTCCTTCCTGCAGACAAGCTTTCCCTGGCTCCCACCCTGCTCCAATATTAGTCCCTGCTCTCCAAGCACAGCACTGCCCACAGCAAGTACAGCATGTACAGCTTTTATTTAGTTTTCTGGCACATGCCTTAGCCATAAAAGATACACTAAATAAAATCTAAACATCCATCATGTACTCTATCACCCGCCTCCCATAACCAAGAAGCCTGAGCCCGTATCCAGAGAGATAATTAGACATGTAAAATAAGATAAGACCTTGGTCCCACCCCCGATAAGCTCACTCCACAGATCAGAGGAAACCAACAATTTTACATAAAAATTAACAGGTCAGAATCTATCTCTTCTTCTCCCTCTGAAAAGGTGAGATCTGGCACAGCAGATCAAACAAAACCTGATTTGATCTGATTAGATTCTTCTTTTCCAGAAGAAAGGGGGAGCAAGACCCTCACTTCCAGAGCAATACTTCCCTCAGCCTAGCTGATTCTGGCTGCCTGCCAGCCTCTGTCCCCATGGGCCTGCTTGGGCTGTCCCCATTCCACACCCTGAGCCATCCTGGAGACCTGCCAGGGACAGCAGCCAGCGCTCAGCCCTGCCAGCAGCATCCCCTCCGTGCTGTCAGCAGGGTCAGCAGGGCAGCGAGGGGCAGCACCCCGAGCGGTGCCCGCCATGCCCCGGGAGCTGTGGGGTGCCGGAGCCGTGTCTCCGCAGGGCCCCTGCCCGTGAGCGCAGAGCTCAGCCCCCACTGCCACCCTGCCGTGCTGAGTGTCCCCAGGGCTGGCAGGGCACAGCAGCTCAGCCCAGTGCCCTGGATGGGATGGATGGGACTCTCAGGGCACCTTTGGAATACCAGAGCAGGCCTGTCCTGGCACCCATGACTGCCTTCCCACAGGCCCCAGAGCCTCTGGGGCCAGTCCCAGCGACCTTGCATGAGGAAGACTGATAGGTCCAGACCACTTGCTATGCCACTCACTCCAAACACGTTTAGCTGAAAGAAATGTTGACAGGCAAACTCCAAACAGATCCACGAGCAGAGAAGCCCTGCCCTGAATCCACAAACAAGTGACTGGGCCTTGTCCCTTCCCCAGGGACAGAAGTACAGCCAGGCTCTGGGCAGGCAAAGAGGCACATGAGCAGCAGGAAAAACCAACACTTGCTAAATCTGACTGTCCCTCCTCATGGCAGCAAGTCACCCTTCTGTGGTGAAACTGGTGAGACCAGCTCTGGGGCTCAGTTGCCACCTTCAGCTCAGGCAGAGACCAGGGACACTTTCTGGCCATGCTGAGACCCCTTTTTGTGTGGATCTGGCCTGCTCCAGGACAGCACTCGGGCACTTTAGCCCTGCAGAACATCAGGGACCCTGCAAGGAGTGCTGTGTCATTCAAAGCCACATTCCCTGGCCTGATGCCAGCATGCAGCACTCCCATCCCAGGTGCCTGGGTGCCACGGGGCAGGAGGCAGGTGGGATTTTATAAACAATGCAATTTACAGCTTTTGTCTGGCCCCAAACACCTGCAGAGGCTGATGTACCTCAGACACATTCAGGCAGGACTTCAGGGAAAAAAATGAACTACAGGAGCTTAAAAAATTACTGGAGCAGAAGTGAGTTTCTTGCAATCTTGTGAACATTCTGACTTGGTAGAAAGCCAGGCCCAGAGGAGATTCATGCCCTCTCACAAGGGGGTCCTCGCAGGACAAGCACAAGGACAGTGCCAGTAACCTGGTGGGGTACAATTGCAAAGAAACTTCTTTTGGGGTGTCTGGCCAGAGAAAGCCACTGCACAAAGCACCCCAGCCCCTGGCATGAGGCAGGTAAACGTGGTGCTGTGGGGGGCATTCCATGGAGAGGCTCAGGTTCCCTGAATGGGGTCCACACTTGGGCTGGACAGTGTTTGGAGCCTGTCTCATGACCTGGAGTGCAGTGCCAAAGGGGAAGGACTCATCTCACTAAGGACAAACAGACAGGACAAGACCCAGCTCCCAGCCACTTGCTGTCCCAGAAGCTTCCAGGTGCACACAAAAGACTTAAGCACTTTCTAGCAAGGGGGGAAAAAAAATCAGATTGCCTGCAAGTGTTCTGGCTGCATGGTAAACAAAGTGTTTTTCTCTGCTTCCAGCATGGAGATTAAACAATTTCTCTTCACAATAATCACTTCTGCATTCAGCCAGCTTTGTGCTGGAGTCAGGGCTTGACCCCAAGTTTCTGTCTGTACAGCCAAATCGCCTCTAATCTGGACATGGTGCTACACAGAGAAATAAGAGTGAAATGCACCAAGGGAGGAGTGATGCTCTGATGAGAGCATATGCCTTTCCTGGCATGCTCCTCACTCCAGGCCCTGCTTGCTCCCCAAGGACCCCAAGTGAGCTCTGGGCTGCAACACCCACCCTGCGCAACCAACAGAGTTTTTTAACATAAGGCACCATGTGCTGGATTTGGGCTCATGCCTGAGTGCAGCAGACAGCTGTTAAGCAGATCCCAGGGAGATCAGGAAAGAAGCCCAAAATACAGCTAATTTTAGCACCTCCTGTAACAAGGTGAAGCTCCTGCAGTTCCAAAGCAGTTGGCTGTGTCCCATTCTACATTCTTCTGCAGCTGCAGGTCTCTCCTTTTGGTACTGGATTCAACTCTGACGTTTTGGAGAGATCCACAGTGGGGTATCCATAGAGGCTGAGCCTCAGGTGCCGGCACAGAGCAGCCTGCAAGCTCATGACCAGCAGCCTCTCCCTGAGGTGACAGGACAGCACTGAAGCTGTAAACAGGATTTGCAGCTCAGGCCCCATCCTACACACAGGCTGCTCCTCAATATGCATGGCCCTGGGCCAGGGGAGCCAGTGAAAATACTCTCCAGGAGCCCCCACCTTCCTCAGCCTGGGTCACTCCAGGGCATTGCCTCTGACCCAGCTCCCTCAGGGGGCTGAGCAGGGCCCTCTCCACTCCTCTACAGCCCCAGCTGCCCTCCCTGCCAGGCAGAAAACCTCCCACGGCAGCTGCACTACTGCTCCTGATGCCCCAGGCCAGATCAAGTTTCTCCAGAAAAGCCAATTGCTGGTTTTGCAGCTGGTTCTGCTGTGCCAAGGGAGGCCAGCTAAAGCTGTAGGGTGAGCTCCCATTTTGGATGTGTTTCTTCCAAATGCAGGATATTCCTGTGTAGAAAACAATGACTTCTCCAACCTGGCTCACAGGCCGGTGTTAGCTCCAGGCACCACCTCTTGCCCTTAACAAATCCCAGTCTCCAGCCTTATCCTCCTGACCATCCTGCTTCTGCTACTTTTGATCCATTAGATAACAACAGCAACCCCTTTTCTTTTCCCTTTGCAGAGGTTTACAATGATGAGTTCATGGAAGACAGATACCAAAGCTGACTAAACCCCCAGAAACCACCCACAGCCAAAGAAATTTCCAAGCTGAAAACAGATCCTGGCTGGGAGAATATTAAGAGGAGCATCACATGTCCTGTGTGTGCTGCTCCTCCTTCCTAAGAATGCACTCTGACCACTGCCAAGACAAGATCCTGGAACAAAGAGGCCTTCAGTTGACCCTCAGTCTCACAATCTTGGGCAGCACGTATGATATCTACCCAAACACACTGCCCTGGCCCCAGCGCAGAGCAAGGGGCAGCTGTGCTGCAAAGCACTCCCAGTTACTCTGAGAGTTTGTGCAGTTCTCATTTGTTATTCCCTCTTAGACACTAGGAAATCAAATGACTTTCCCTCCCAATTAGTACTCCTTCATTATGCAAATAATGTCCTTTGATCTGCTCCTGCTGTCACAGAGCGGATCTGACTGTATTTGGTTTATTCCTCTTCACGCCCCAGGAAGGCACCCACCTCTGGGAGCTGGGACTCTGCTTTTGGCAGGGAATGGAGAGTGCAGCTGAGAGCTGCCTTGAGTGAGAACAAAAACCACCCAAGCACAAACCCCACCGAGGTCTGGGAAGGCAAGACCACAAAAGGAGGAAGAGGGGGTCACCCTTAACTTTTCAGGCTGGGATGCAGAGCAAAGGCTTCAGAGCAGCAAAGACAGGGAATGAGCAGCTCCCTACAGCTCCAAGCTGGAGAGCAGCCCTGCCCATCCCAGCCCCTTCCCCAGTAGAGCACAACTGAATCCAAATGGTGCTGAGAGCAGGCATGGCCACCAGCAGGTCCCCAGGCTTTGATCTTGATACACTAATAACCTACCTAAATTCTTCAGCCTTCATACTCCTGCTTGGCCAGCACAAGCTGGGATCACCTCCTTCCACCCTCAGGAAGGCAGCAAGGCACACTCCCCATTTGATCTCATGAAAATACCCACAGGCAAGTCAGCAAACATCACTATCAATACCAACCATAACAAAGCCTCATCACAGCTGCATCCAGCCTTGATGCCACAAAAGGAACACTCCCACACAAAAAGGGCCTGGCACGCCACTTCCCACAAGAATATACTGAACTTCACCTCCCTGGCCCAGCAGCCTCCCATATCCTGAACCCTCAGCCCTTCCTACAGCATCTGGAGATGAACTTCTCACACCAGGCCCATGACCAGCCCCATCTGCCTCCCAGCTGCTGAACCTCGGAGGGTTGAGCAGAAAGCTCCTTGCCAGCCTTGCCTGTTTATGCTTTCACAGGATGTGTCCACCTTGTTCTTCGTGCTGCCTGTTCCTGGGCAAAGCACTGGGAAGCCAAGGGAGAAGTGGGAGGGAGCTGGGGACTTGCAGCAGCAGCATGTGGGTCCCTCCAGCTCTGCACTCACACTGCCCGGGCCTGGGCAGCAGCACCATGGGAAGATGACGTGTGAGACCCTCCCTGGGCCGTCTCCAGGGCAAGGCTGCTCTGGAGGAGCCCGAACACTCCCCAGGATGGCCAGACTGCAGAAGGCTCCGAGGTTGTGGCAGGCAGGTAGCCTGGAAAGCAGAACAGGCTCTTGGCTCCAGCTCCCCTCTCTAAGCACACAGCTGGGAAATGCAGCCCACGCCGTTCACAGCACTTCTCTTTACTTTTAACTTCCAAGTATTTTAATTTGCAGGAATCGCCTTCTTTCATGTTGTGAAACCGTGTTTCTTTCTCCCTCTGATCTCCAATTTCGCATAGAAACTGTCTCCTTTGATATGTCTTGTTCACATCAGTCTGATCAGGCAGCTCCATAATTGTTAGTGATTTTCAAAGAACTGGGATCCTTGTCTAATACCCAGAGTTGAGAATTCCTTGCTTTTTAAAATGTTGTTCAAGCAAATTAGATTAATTTAATTTCTTTCTTCCCTTTGGGAACAGGATGCCTCTTGCTTTGGTGCCCACATGCTGTCTTTCATACCTCCAGGAGCACCCAGCTATAGTTCAAGAGGTCATTCTCTGTCTGAGGGAAGGATTTGCACAGGTAACTGGAAGTGGAAAGAGAGCTTGGGATGCCTCAGAAGAACTTGTTTTCCATACATCAACAGAATCCAGGCAGCAGCAGCTCCTCTGGTGCGGGCAATTCCTGTACATCTGTACCTGCAGGAGGCCATGCACCAGCCTTGCAATATGCTGCACATGAACCATGGAGAGCTGGAACTCTGTCCTGAGGCGGTGCAGACCCTGTGCTCTGCTGCCAGGATGCCTCTGCAGCCAGACCTTCCTGCAGCAGCACAGCAGGAGCTGGTGGCTCACCCCTCCAGCCCCTGGTGCAGCTCAGCTGCTGCCCCTGCCCTGGGGGCTCTCTGCACTCCTGGCACTGTTCCTGCCCCCTGTGCTGCTGACTCAGCCCTTGCTGACAGTGCTGGGGTCCTGCCTGATCTTTGATGTCTGCCTGTCACAAGCTGCCTTCTACCTGGATACAGCCTTTGGGAACAGAGATTTACAGTTCCTGCTTGCAGCACATGTTGACACACACAGCCTGCTATAGGGGTAGCAGAGTGCCCAGTGTGGACAGGGAATGGTGTGGACAGGGAATGGCATGGCTCTGGGCAGTGCAGCACCAGTCATTCTCCTGGGCTCCAGCTGTGCTCAGCAGCGTGGGAACCCAGCAGAAGTGAGGGCAGCAGTGCTGCAGCTCACACATCACCTCCCTGCAGCCCTCCCAAAGCTTGGGTGGGCACAAAGCCAACTGTCCTGCTCTATCATCCCAGGGGGACGGACTTGTGCAGCCTCATCATCCCAGCCTGGCCCTAAGAACTTCAGTGAGGCTGATCACCAACACACTTAAGAGGAGCCTGGTGCCAAGGGGATGGGCAGTTAAGGCAAACACAAGAAAGCCACATTTCTGTCACAGGGACGTGAATTCCCCAACCTCAGTCAACAAGGCCTGCCCCCTCAGAGAAGGACAGATCCAGCTGAGAAGGGTGTGGCAGTTCTGCATGGGGACACACAAAGGGATGATGTCTGGACAGCCCCAGGGCTCAGAAGAGCATCAAAGCAGCACACAGAAAACGGCCTGAGCTGGGAGAGAAGCACCACCCAGACCAATCTGACCACAGGCAGACGTGAGCCCCTTGGTTTGTGAGGGCTTAGCCCAACCTCCCAGCATTTAGGAGGGAGGGGGCTGTGCAAAGCCAGAGTCAGTGCACAGCAGGCAGCTGGCACCACCACGACCCATCCCCAGAGCACGGCTTAGGGCTGAGACTGAGCGCTCAGCCAAAGGCTGGCAATCAGCTCAGAGGATTTATCCACTTGTTTTTCTTAAGCCACCTTATTTATTTTTCCCTTTTGGCTCGCTAGCTCTGGAATCCCTGGGATTTGCAAGTGGTTTTTGTGGGGTACATCGGGCTCAAGGTTTGACAGGAGAGAGGTGCAGGTTTCCCAACCCACGGCGTCCCCCGCAGCAGACCTACCGATGGGGGACAGCTCCGCCACGCTGCCGATGTAGGGCCCCTCCAGGAAGCGTGGCTCGCTGTCGTTGATGTCCTGCACCTTGATGATGAACTCTGACTCGGGCTCCAGCAGCTGGTCTGTCTGCCGGTCCCGGGCCTGTGCCCGCAGCGTGTAGAAGGTTTTCTGCTCCCGGTCCAGGCGCTCGGTGGCGTGGATGTCACCTGTGATCTCATCGATGAGGAAGATGGTCCCTGCGCCCTCCCCGGAGATGGTGTACTTGATGGAGCCGTCTCCCTCATCTGAGTCCGAGTGGATCTGCCAAGGGAAGAGGGAGAGGGTGGGAGCAGGCTGGGGCTGTGCTCGTACCCAACCCCAGCCACCTGCACCATATGCCCATGGTCCCCACGTGATGCCCTTCTGCTCTTGTTGGACTGGATGGTGACACAGAGCACCACCAGACAACTCTTGTGCATGAAAGAAGGCCCAATGAACTGGAATTTCAGGCCTGCTATTACAGCTCTGCAGATTACAGATTCTGCCAGTGCCCACCCCCACTACAAACCAAGGGACAAACCCCTCTAATAAGGGGCTATGAGATGATGGAAAAGTGAAGAACAACTCAGCTGCACTCCAAAGAAAGAGACTTCCCTATGGGCAAGGGACTTTGGCAGCATGGGATCACCTCTCCCAAGCTGCACAGGTACCTCACCATCAGCATCCCTCCCCTTCTACACAACCAATTGCCCAAAGTCCATCCTCATCCACCCGCTTTGCCTCAGCCACATCCACCCTCCATGATCCAGGCAGCTGACAAGTCTCCCTGCTAAGGAGCTGACACACTCCCTGCACCCCTGAGCTGGGTTTATGTTGCAGGGTAACAGGGGTCACAACATCCCATCATCATGCCCAGAGCCCCACCTGGATAAAACTTGCAAAAGAGTGTGACAAACCGGCTCATGTTCAGGACTAAAAACAGACCCTGAGGAAGATGCCTTTGCAGGCAATCTCTGCTGCTTCATTTTTTAATTAAGACAATGTTTGGCATTAGGAAAAGAAAGGGTAAACAGCAGTTCCCCACAGACCAAGAGCTGACTGGAATCCAGGCCAGACGTCCAGAGATAATTTTATTGGTGGCATTAAACTGAGTTATGAGGTTTTTACAATCCAGCCACTTATGAGAAATCTATTAACAGTAACTGGACAGGCAGAATGCATCTTGACAGAGAGCAGCACGGGCATTAATTGGGACAATCCATACTGGGACAGGCCCCCGGAAAGGTTTCATCAGCTGCTTTCATTTGTTTCCTACAATTTCTGCTTAGAATCAGCAAAGTCATGTCCCCCCCTCCAAAAAAAGAAAAAAGCCGTCCATTAATCGGCTAATGAAATATGAAAATGTTTATGGGCCATTCAATCTTCCAAACTGCAGTTCTATAATCCACCTTTCAGACATACAGCTCCACCAGCAAGAATTTATACCAGAGCTGCCTCTTTTTTTATGATGCCTTCATTATATTTGTCTTGTTAGATACAGTTTATATATTTATTTCACAAGTGAGGGACCCACACGTTAGGCAATTCAATGCATTTTGCACAACATTCACAAATTACTGCCCATGGTGACACATCTCTCAAGGCTTGCTGGAAAGAGACCTTCGCTCAGCTCACAAATAGGGCAGACAGCAGAGTCTGGGACCACCGTGATGGCTTTGGTTACAAATGGGCCTATGGGGTGGCCACCCTGCCCTGGCCACCTGGAGCATCCTGCCCTGGGTCTGTGGGGATGGTCACCCCAGCCTGGCCATCCCAGCCTGGCCATCCAGTCCCAACCCTCCCCACTGTCTGGTGGAGAGCTTGCTGCCCTCTTTACTTTATCACCCTCTCCTCAGTTCTCACTGCTACACCTTGAGCTTTTCAGAACGAAGAAGGAGCACCAGGTCTGTGCAGCGCAGGTAGCAGAAACCTGCATTTTTCTGCTGAACACCGGGCTCATGATTAATAATTAGACTAGAGATAAAGTATCCAGCGCCACATTGAGCTCTCAGCACATCCTCTTCACATATTTGCTCATCACTGACTGCTTGGAGCATTCACCAGCATCCCTGCAAACCGGAGTGCTAGGAAGAAAAATGGAGCCTGGGCTCAAGGGGCTGCAGAGATTGATTTACAGGGGAAGATTAAAAGAGCTAAATCTGTGCTGCTTGGCTAAACAACAACTAATGGGGGAGGGCCGGATGGCAGACTACAGAAACGCAAGGGGAGATGCCACAGACCCGGACCACATCCCAGGGATGTTCTCTCCTCCCTGTTACAGGAGGCAGGCTTGGGGAGCACCGCGCTCCCACGCAGCCTCAGGGCTCCCTCCACCCCTGGGCATGGCAGGAGACTGAAGTCACACAGCCCTGCTGGGCCCCAGGAGCACAGGGACCACCCAGCCCTGCCTGCAGCTCAGCCCCAAGCAAGGACAGCGGTGTCTGCAGATCTGGGACATCCAGAGGGCGGACAATGGGCTCATCTGTCCCATTTGTTAAACAGGAAAATTGTTTCCTTGTCCTAAAAGACTACAACCAGAATTCTTACGAAGCCATTAATTACATACTAATAATTAAATCAAAATTAAATATGAACAGAGGTGCACATTCCTTATTAAAAGCAATTAAACAGAAAGCACAGATACACAAATAAAAAATTACTCTAGGGCTAGAAAAGAAAGAAAATCAAATAAAAACTAGCCCGTAATAAAGGCGCACTCTGTTTGCTCCAACTCATAAAGCCCGAGTTCATCAATTTTCTTTAAATATTAGCAACTTAATTAAATCTGCTTTTTTCCCTTTAATCCTCTCCTCTATCTAAAATAGATCTGTCCACATGCAGAAGTTTGTAACTAGTGCTGACCCCATAATTCTATTTAAAAAACCCTAAGAAATCCACATCAAACTGACAGCAGCCTCGGGGGAAATTACAGTTCAGAAGAAGGATTAGCTAGAGAACCCAGATTTTATGGAAATAGTATTGGCCCTTCAGAAAGCACATGTAGGTGTGTGAGAGGCATCCACAGAGGGCAAGCCCCAGCTACCCTGCAGGGTCCCTCCCAGTGCAGGAAGGCTCTGGACCCACAGACTGTGCTAAGAGGGCTGGCACACTGATGGGGACAGTGTCCCAGACAAACACTCCATCCTCTCCCAGGACCAGGAAAAGCCTGGCCCTGCTGGCTTTCAGCCCTGGGGATCCACAGGCAGTGATCTCAGCGCTGCTGTTGTGAGCCAGGCGGGTGATGTGGTGGGTGATGTGGTGGGTGATGTGGAAAGGGGCTGTAAAACGGGTGAGCTGTAGGTTTGGGTTCAGTTGGAGCCGAGGCATTGCCAGGCCTGTGACAGGGCCTGGTGCCTCTGCTGCTCCCAGGGGAGCCATGAATTAGCTGTGCCTGCTCCGAGGGCGGCGGAGGAGCGCGGCTTTGAGTGTCTGCTGAAACGGACACAAATCACCACTGAAATCCCTGCTGGCCCCCAGCCAAGAAACCCATTTTCAAGCTCCTCCAGACTCATGCCCAGACTGCTGAGGCCATCAGATAGCCCTGCTGTACCAGTTCTTGGGCACTTTCCTGTGGGGTGAGCCCATGCCTCCAGCTCTAGCTGGGTTGTAGTGTGTTCCTCTGACAGGTCCCAACAACCAGCACTGCCTTCATCCATATACAAACATCTGCCTGACACATGGACAGCTGCTTCTCCAAAGCTCCCAGAAAAAGCCCAGCAACCCCAGGGCAAAATGCTCCTTCAGCCTCAGGACACCAGGAGTGGAGAGAGCAGAGGTTGTCCATGTCCACCCTTCCCAGGAGGTCACACGCCAGGGAAGTGTGGTGAGCTCCCACCTACAGACCCAGTCCTGCCCAGGAAGGCATTGTCACCTGCCAGCAGCTCCCACAGACAGGGCTTCTTGCACCCACACCCAGACATCACAGGGACCCAGTATACGATTGTAGGAACACAGATGTAAATCTTGGTGTGTCCTGTTCTCATCTCTGGGAGAACATGAATCTCACCACTCCCAGCAGGGACCAGGCTCCTGCCATCGCAGTCCACAGAGTATTTCTCTAGCCAGGACCCAGTGAACAACCTTCACATGGGCCCTCTCTCTGCTCAGCACTGCCAGCATGTCCACCCTGCCCCTGACTCTGTCAGCCCCATGGAGACATCAGCTCCACTTACCTTCCCCACATACAGCGGCTCGGTGCCCGTGTACTCCTCCACCACAAAGAACTGATTCCAGACCCAGCCACGCTTCACTCGCCCGCCGGCCAGCAGTGCAGGATCCCCGGGCTCCCCGAGGCCAGGGCCCTCCACCGCCGTGTGCATGGCCCAGGTCCCCAGCTCCTGGATGGCGCAGAACAGCAGCAGCATGGTCCACAAGAAGCCCTGCAGACCCTTCGCCATGGCACCCTAGAAGGCTGCATGAGCAGGAGCTTCTGGACGGGCAGCCAGCATCCTTTAGGGAAGAGTAGGAGGCAAGTCCACACTAGCAGCGTGAGGCTGCCGGGTCAGTGCAGAGCACCCCTGTCCCTGCTGCATGCCGTGCCCTGCAGCTGGAGCGCTCCTGTCCAGCGTGAGTCACATCTGCGACAACAGGCGTCCCGGACCGCCCGCTGCTGCCGTGGGAGCAGTCAGTGCTGGTGCCTCGCAGGCTGCTCCTGGGTCTCCAGAGAAGAGTCTGGCAGCTGGCATTTGTCCCCGGGGATAGAGCTGCAGGGCTCCGTGCTCGGCTGCCGCCGGCCTCGCTGGGGAAGGGGGCGATGCGCAGCCTGCTGCCCACCCCACCGGCGGGCAGGGAACGCCGCGGCGGCACACGGGGCACAGACACCCACTGCTGGCATTCACAGGAGGAGAAGGAAAGCTCCTCCACAAATGTTTTCACAGGGGAGTTAACAGGATGAGCTGCTGTGGCCAGCGTCTGCCTATCCTGTGGCAGCCTGGGACTACTGTGCAAGGGGTGTGACGGTGCAGGTGTCTGAGCCACACGTACAGTTCACAAGGCCATTTGTAACTCCCATCTTCAGGGGGACAATATCCCAGTGCCTGGTGAAGGGTCCTTTGCCCAGATGATTCTGGTCTCTTCCATTCTCTGCTGGCTCACGCAGGGAGGTGCAGGGCAGTCAGCAGCATCTCCGGGAGCCTGGAAAAAGCCAAGATGTCAGAGCTGGTGTGAAAACACGGCCCAATGTCCCCCTGAGCTGCTCCTGCAGCCTTGGTCAGTATCTCCCACCCTGCCCTGCCCCAGGTGCTCCACAGCAGGGCCAAACCCCACAGGTCCTGCCAGGAACACAACAGGGAGGGCTGCAGAGCTCTCAGCACTGCAGACATCTGCTCCAGCAGGGACTCTGAGACCAAGGACCCTGCTGACAAGGGCACCCCCTCATCACATGGTCCTGGCTGTTGAGAGGAGTGAGGTCTGTGCCTGGAGGGAGTCATTGGTGCTCACACTGTTAGGAGATGTGTAGCAGCACTCCTGGCACAGCACAGCTGCCAGTGCCTGCACAGGACCAGACCGCAGTAGCTCTGCACTGGCAGACAAGGCTCATGCTGAGGAATACCAGCCCCTGAGCATGGGAGGTGTCCATGCCTATCCAGGCACTCCTGCAAGCCCTCCCTGCAGAACCTTTCTGTCATCTCACCTCTGCAGCCATGGGCAGGAGAAAAGCATCTGTTCATCAAGAATTTGCCACCTGGCTGACTCTAAAGGTAACAGTTTTAAAAAGGGCTCAGGTGTAAGCTTCAAGGCACCTTCAAGGCACGAAGGGCTGAGACGTGAGACCTTTAGCCAAGGGTACATTGCATCCAGTGAGCACATGGGGAGAAGCAGTCTGATCAGGAGTTGGGGATGCAGCATCCATCTCTCCCTGCACCAACACCCTGAGCTTCCACCAGAGCTCTGCGATAGCAGCCACAGCCTGATCTACTCATGAAACATGCACCAGTCTGCAGAATTCATCTCCTGTCAGCTGATACTTTGTACAGGAGGCAGAAAAAGGGTGAATGGAAAGGTAAATGATCCTGGACTAGATGTTCATCTACTCCCCATAGAAAGGGAATTGAACTGTGCTTTGCATAGACCCTTGCATGAATCTGAACAGTCCCAGCTGTTCAGAGGAGGGACAGCTCCCACGTATTTCTCCAGCTCTTTCCCTTGCCATTCCCCTGTGTGACTCCACCAACGGGGCTGTTTCCCAAACAAGGAATGTCTGCTGCACTCTTTCCTGCCTGCATTCACTTGTCTGGACAAACACTTCCCTGAGAACCACAAAGCATCACTCTACACTGCCTGCTCATGGCTCACAAGTTGTGTGTCCCACAGTGTGCACACATCTATTCACCAAAAGGGCTCACACACATCTCACCCCATGCACAGCTAAGATCTTTCATACACACCATCTTTTGTCTATTCGTGCCTCCTTTGTGTGCACACACATTTCCTCCCCACGTACACATGCTATATTCCACTCACACATGCACATCAGCTGTCACATGTGCCAGCCCTGTGCACTTCATGCTCCAAGGAAGACAGGGTCTCCAGTGTATTTTTATGTTAGCAATCATGGTACAGAAGCACTAGCATTGCTCCCCACCCCTTCTCCATGCCAGCCCATTTATTATGAAGATATTTCCACACCAGGCAGGTGAGGTTGCTGGCAATGCCATGACTGTGTCTTGCAGCCAGACCTCCCCATGCAGAAGCGCTTCCTGTCCCTGCTCCCAAAGGGCAGGGACAGCTGCACTGCTGGTGAGGATCCCTACCAAACACCAGAGTATTTAACACTGTACACTTAGGGGAGCAAGATGACCTGTAGGTGGGGACAGACCAAGCCATCTCTTCCCACACAGAGGGTGAAGCAACTTCACAGATCAAATGCAGAAATTGGGGTCTCTGCTCTGGAGCAACGGAGCTGAGGCTGCCTGACCCACAGCAGGCTCCAGAGCAAGACACAAGAACAGCACAAGGGCAAATGTGCTTTATCATGCTCTCCTGGGTATACAGAAGATAAATACAAGACATAGTGCACCGCTGTCACAAACAGCACCTCTCCAAATTCTCACACCTAGGAGATCTCTTGTTATTTTGGAGTAGGTTACCAAACAGTGAGGCATGTCAATAAACTGAGCAGCACAAGCTGTGCCAGAGCAAGAGTTTCAGGTTAGCAACAAGGGCAAACAGTAAGTGTGGGGAGAACAATCTATCCAGCATCTCTGCCTGACACTCTGCAGCACTTTTGCAGGCAACACCTCCGGTTGCATCCAAAATCTGAGTACAAAAGAGTTGTAGCTGGTTAACTCAACTTCCAGAAGGAGAGTTTAAAAAATAATCCATCTGCATGTGTTCTCAGGACAACTATGTCAGCAGAGCCTTGGGGAGAAGCAGCCACCACCTGCTGAAGTCTCCTATTCTGCCCACCCAGAATCTTCTCCTTGCTATCCATGAGCAGACCCATCCACACTGATTTATAAAGCCCTGCCAGAAGCCTGAGCAGCAATGCCAGTGCCAGGGAGCAGTTCTGCAACACTGAAGGCCTTCTGAACACATGGGGAGGCTGCAAGAAAGCCAGTCCAGCAGAGCAAGTCCTGACACCACGGCTAACATCACATCCAGGGTCTCCAACCAAGCTGGCACATGAAGGCAGCACACTGCCGCTGCCTCCAGTATGCAGCACTCGGGGCACACAGCTGACAGAAAGCACCAGCACCGGCTCTGTGACAGCAGTAGGAGCCACCTTCATTCCCCTCATCACACCATTTCACACCTTAGTGGCATTCTGATTTACTCCACAACACAGCTACCCCAGCCACACACTGCAGACAGCCCTGTGCACACAGCAATGGCACTGCTCCTCGCTCAGAAACGGACACTGGGCCCTCAGCCTGACCAGAGTTACAGCACATCAGTGGAAGCAGCACAATCCCAAACAGTAACCATAAACCAGTAACAATAACAGTTAACACTAAGGCAAGGCAGGAAAGAGGAAGTGAGAGCAGAAGATGCTGCAGTGGGCGAGCTCCACTTGAGCAGAGCTGCTCCCTGGCTGGCAGACAAGCTGGCCCGCAGTTCCCAAGGCAACTTGTTCAGCCCTGTTGCATCTGAGCACTCCACAGAGCAGATTCTGCCATAGAGAGGAGAGTCCTGCTGAGCACCCATGGGCTGGGCTGCGTTGCTGTGGGAAACACAACCTTGTGTATAGTCTCAGCTATTGTGCTGTTTTTTATTTAACAGATCTCTCATTTGAGCTAATGCAGTTTGCTGGTGACTGCCTCGTGTCCAAAGTTCAGCTACTCTCAGCTGAGCTGTCTGCATGCTCTTCCTGTGGGCAGCAACGCAGGTGCTGTAACCCAAGTTGCCTCATCCCAGACATCAAAGCCCAACTAGAGAACCTGTGGTGACCTCCAGTTCCCTGCACCACAAAATGTGGGCCCAGAGACACATCTGTATCCAAGCTCACAGCCACAAACCAGATCCTCCTTCTCCAGTGACAAATTCTCAGCCTGTGTTTGTTCTGTGACAGCTTCAGGGTCATGTCTCTCCTCAGTGTGCAGAACCTTCTTTCCAGCTGTCACATCACAGACCTTTTCTAGAGGCTGCAAAGCCAAGAGCCCCAAGTCCTACTCATGCCCTCGCAGCAGCAGGAATCAAGACACCCCAGAAGGTCCCATGCACAGGAACCATGACTAGCACTATATTTATTTCCCTGTTTTATTGAAAATCTTTCACCAACAGCTGGAAGTGCCCCTTCTCTCTGCCACACGTGAGCAGCAGGGCTGTAAATAACCAGTGGGAGCTGCTGCAGCAGCCAGCCCAGCCCACAGCAGCACACAGGCACCCACATGGCAGCGTGCCCAGCACTCAGCACACCGAGCAGGCTCCCATGCAGAGTGTGAAGCACCATACCCTCACACTGCCCCAGGCCCAGGGTGATGTCCCCTCTCCTGCTGCTCTGCCATCCTTGATTCCAATTATCAGCACAACTCCCCCCTCCCCTCCCCACAAGAGCTTGTGCAGTTTGTTGGTGTGCATTTGGCACAGCTATACTGTACATCATGTTGACAGTAGAAATTACATCCTGAGCTTATGTTTTACACTGTGCTCTGTCAGAACTCACCGCAGCCCAGTGATCAGGACAAATTGAATAGCATCCCGTCCATGTCAATATTTATTTCATTTTACAAATGCAGGCTGATGCAGGAGAAAGTAGGCAGGGGGAGGGGGAAGACATGGGCAGGCAATAGCACACCAGGATAGCACTGCCCAGCACCCCACAGTCCTGCATTGCTGCCCAACACGGTAGAGCCTCAGGAGCCCAGGGAGGGCTGTCCCACCCAGAGGCCAGGGAGCATCTCTGGGAGCTCATGCAGTGCTCCCATGCACACAGCTCTGCTGGAAGGGCTGGCACACCAGCACTGCTCCTCTGAGACAAGCCCTAATAATTGGTAGAAAACAGAAATGCCACCAGGTACCAGAAGATGCAAAGGCAGGGAAAGAGAGCCCTCTCTCCTCAACCCCAGTCTGCAGCTTCAGCAAATGTGAGCTTGGATGTTCTGCTTTGGCTGCCCACTCCTCCCAGCGGGGTGGCACCAGCTACCAGCACAAGCATCAGGACTGCTCTGCTGTTCAGAACAGCCATGAGGATGCTACAAAGACTGCTGAGGAGCAAGGCAAGAGCAAGGCACTGCTTGTGCCACCCTCTAGAATGCAGAGCCACATTGCAGCTTGAATACCAAGCACAAGAGAGGAGCTCCTTAAAGCTTGGGCTTTCTTCTGCTTTACCATAGCCCTTCCATGCTCCAGAGGACACAAGGAAATGAAGGCTGCAGTCAGAGGGTCCCTGGTCAGAGACAATACCTCAGTCCTGACACCCACAGTCCTCTTGCTGCTGGGTTAGCTGCCTGCAGAACGAGTTCAAACTGGGAGCACCCCTCCTGCAGCACCTGCCCTGCTACCCAACAAAGCCAAGGAAGGAGCAGCACAGCAGGGACAGTCCTCAGGGTGGGGACAGCAGTGGCAATGCCACCACCTGCATGCAGAATCCCAACCCCATGGCTGAAAACTGGGAGCTTGTGGACCCTCATGCTGCCAGAGAGCTGCTCCTTACAAAGTGCTCTCCCAAGGGCAGATCACACAAGGAAAAAGGG